TTCCCAAAAAACTTAATTAAAATAGCTTTCTTTGTCAATATTAATTTCATAAACTAGACAACATTTTAATCAGTGGCATCTAACACAGAAAATAATTCAGTTTATTCCTCCTAAGTCTGACCTCTGTACCAAACTACATGCTTTTACTGACAGGACTGGCTGTAGAATCGACTATTTAAAAAAAGCATATCACTGACAAGTACACATGACTAAATCTGTAAAATTTGAAAATAGAATAACTCATTTACATAAACTAATTAGAACTAAGCAATCAATGTTATTTATCACCCAATGACTTACCAATGTATTTATTTTTAGGCTATGAGCTCTTATACCAGCCTGAGGTGGTCCGGATCTACACATCTCTCCTGAAAGAATCAAAAAACCCAACTGTGTTGGAGGCTTCAGCCGGAGCTGTTCAAAACCTGTGTGCTGGGCGCTGGACTGTAAGATAACTTTAAAATTTTACTTTCTCAATTTCCTGTAGATTTCATTCTAAAACAAAAAGGCTTAATATAAAACTGTGTTCATAAGAGGAAATGGGATTATCCGTTTTACTTTTGCATCAAGGTTAGTATTGTCATATAGGAAATGAGAAAGTCAAGTAGCAAGTTAAGGGATTATATGGTACTACTTGCAAGATGGTGGTGATGAATTGTATTTGTAATATAATTTCTGACAGTAACTTGAGATTGTTGTTTTATGCAGTATGGCAGATATATCCGTGGTGTTCTGCGTAAAGAGCAAGGGCTGTCCATGATGACACAGCTTTTGGCCCATGGCAACGACCGTGTGGTCCGAGCCATGTCTGGAGCCTTGCGCAACCTGGCCATTGACCCACGAAACAGGGAGTTATTAGGTGAGATATAAAAGAAATCATACAATGCAATCATGCATACAGTACAATTTCTGTTACTATAAAATTTATTTGCAATAAGTAAATAATACTAATAATAATCTAAGTACTTTTGTAATTGTTCTAAAGTTTTACAGTCAGCCTCAGACAATGCACAGTGGTCTGATATGTGGTCACAATGTATTTTATGAGGGGAAAGTAAAATAAATGTACTAATTTTCAAGAATAAAATTGGGGACCACAGTTTATAACGTGACTTATTTTACATTTTCTTCCTGGGAAAACATGTCACTTGTTTTTAATCATTATCTTAATTAAATCTTTTAATCTTTTTAATGTTTGCATTTCACGCCTTAGTCTTTGTTTGATTATGACACTTCTAGTCTTGTAAATAGATGGTTTAGCATAATTTTACATTTGTATATAATTAAATCGAATAGCATACACATTTTTAAAGCATAGCTGAACTACTATGCAGTGATCTATCTATCTATCTATATCTACATCTATATATCTATATCTATCTATATATATATATATATATATCTATATCTATATATCTCTATCTATCTATCTATCTATCTATCTATCTATCTATATATATATATATATATATATATATATATATATATATAGTGGAGTTATATAATAATTAAAATATTTACTCTGCATATTTGTCAGGTCAACATGCAGTGCCTCACCTGGTGGCCAACCTGCCTGGAGGTGGTCAGAGCCAGCCGGTCAGAGTTCTGTCTGAGGAGACTGTGGTGTCTGTACTGAGCACGCTCCATGAGGTCCTGGGCTCTAGTTTAGAGGCAGCCAAGATTCTGAGAGCGTCACAGGGAATAGAGAGACTTGTACTCATCAACAAAGACGGGTGAGTGCTTAAGTGCACCTGCGAGTGGTAAATACGTCTACATCATAGTTTGTTTGTTTTTTTGTTTTTTCCTAGACTAAAACTACGCTAAAAACTAAAAATAATTTTAGTCAAAAGGGTAAGACTAACTTAAACTCAAAATTATTAACACTGCACCTGACATGACAATCTAAAGAGTCCATAGTTTAAAAATAAGATTGAATGCATAGAACAGTTTCTAACTGTTAAAAATATTTGTTTTATTTTAATGGTTTGTATGGTTATGGTCCTAACAGCCACATGAAACAATATCATTCTCTGTACGCAAAAATGAGAGGTGTTTAACAAGCTTTAAAAAAAAAAAAAAAGTGGCACTATTACTCATGTATACTGACATAATGTTTTCCATGTGGAAGTATATTTAAATAAGGGAAAGGAAAACAAATGTAAAATCTGAGTTTTAAATTAGTGAAATCTAGGCCTGTAACGATAATCAATAAATCAATTAATCGTACAATAACTTTTAATGAGCTCGATAACTTTTCCGGCCGTGATAAATTCTGTTTGCATGCTTGGTTGTTTTCCTCGCTCTCTCTCGCTCTCAAAGAGGGTGAATGTTAGAAGGCTTCTATTGCTCTGACTCCTCTCGTTTAACAAGTGTAATGTCGCTTGAACCAACGTGCGCACATAGCCTGAGTGCAGAAAGTGCCGCTGTCTGTGTGGCTAACATGAACCCGCAACACAAGCTAGCGCCCCTGTCAGAGTGACAAAACAGTTCATCGCTGAGTGCCAGAACAAGTCACGATGCCGAATCAACACTGGTGAGTGGGACACGTCTTAATAGCCACGTGCGCCAAATGCAGCGACTGCGTTAACGATGAGAAGAAATGACTCAACCCCCAACAGCCGATAAAACCATACCCGAGCAACAGAACTAGCCTAGCCCCTGGGAGAGCCCGAAATCCCACAAGAAACCAACACGATACCAGACAGGACCGTGGCTCCCTCATAGCAAAACAGGATCCTGTGTTGCGGGTTAATACGAACATTTAAATGAGCAAAATCACGAGGCCACAGCAGCAGCCACAGAGAGAGTGGCCACTATATACCAATGTAAGTCAATGACTCAAATCACTTTTAAGGCCAGGTTTGTTAAGAGATTTAATAATCCATTTTATTTAATACTTTGGTTGTATTTGGTTCAGCAATGGTTTATTCAAGTGCATTTTTTTAACAACTCCTTGCTGTGAGCCAGACTACATTAGGCTAGTCCTGTGTTAACAAGTCTGTTTTATTTAGGCCTATTGTTTTTGGTTGTCTTACAGTTCCTATGTTAAATGTTTTTTAGAAAGTAAGGTTTATTGATCTTTGAAAGGGTGTATTTACATTTTTATTCCATGGTCAGTATAGTAGTTGAAATTGGTCTCAAATTGTCAATATTATCGTTTATCGCAATAAATTCTTGGTCAATTAATCGTCCAGCAAAATCTGTTATCGTTACAGGCCTAGTGACATCGTACACCTTATTCATGGATTTCAGGATGATTCATTAGCCCTTTTGCCACAGCAATTGAGAATTACTCACAAGAAGTCCTCAGTGACACATAAATATATATATATATATATTATAATTCCATTCAATTCATACAACAAAAAAATGTATCAAAGAAGTACTATTTTTTACTTAATTTAAATTTTTGTCCTTCTTGGTGCCTGTAGTAACCGTTCAGAGCGTGAGGTGCGGGGGGCCGGCCTAGTGCTGCAGACTGTGTGGGGATACAAGGAGCTGCGACGGGCCCTGGAGAAGGACGGCTGGAAGAAGACTGACTTCATGGTGAATCTGAACCACGTCAACCCCCCCAGCAGCACCCGCGCCAACGGAGGCTACGAGGAAAGCACTCAGCCGCTCATAGATAAAGGTACTGCTTGGGTTTACTATGTCTCAGTTGGGGAGTTTATATTGCATATTTTTTTGTTGGTATGATGATAGACTAATTATATGTCTATTACTGCACTGAACAAGGATATATAAATAAGTCATTAAATAAATACATTTAAAAATACACTATACAGAGAGTAGTTGGACAGTTTGGCACGATGATGACTGGGTGGCTAGGTTTGACTCCCAGGCGGGGTGTTCCGTTTGGAGTTTGCAGGTTTCTCCCTGTGTCTAGGTGCTGGGGCATTCATTCCTCAAACAACTGAAATGACGCACTATAGGTAAAATCCTCCAGCTGAGGTAGACCTGAATTAAGTCAGATGGGTCTCCTGGCCTGGCTCTGTGGCATCCACTGCTCCAGGAATGACAGAATGCCCCAGCAGAATTAATGAATAGGTCAAATGCAGGACAATAATCTTTACTTTGTAGATGTCAAATTGCAGTGCTTGTTCAATGTACATTTCTGCCATAGGAAAACAAATTTGTACTTTGCATTGGGATACACAGAATCAATAGTCTGATACTAACAATAGTCACTGAAACTCTTACTGTTTGTACAAAACTAATGTTATGTTTATTTTTGCCACACAGGGGCCAAAGGGGACAGAGAAATGATTCCAATGAATGACTTGGGACCAGGTAAGGCCAAATAAAAATTTTCTATTCTACTATTTTAAACTTTAAGATTAAGATTTTAAATGTATGCATTACAAAATTATAAATACTGTTTAATAAAATTACTGTTTAATATAATCATAACTTTCCATCTCTATAGATGCCTACTCCACACTGGATCAGAAAGGGAGAAAGAACACTCTGGATGACACACTCGAACCTGCTGACAAAGATGCGGTCCAGGTAAACTCAAGTCTCCTGTGAAGAATGCATGGTTTTAAAAAGCATTATTAGAACCTGTTACTTTATGGTTGCTGATCTAAACTTTATTGAGGACCAAAAATGAAATTAAAACAATTAAAGAACGAATTAAAGGAATACAAATAGAACTCCTGTACACATTTTTCCTCAACATTTTTACATTCATTTGTTTATGTATTTATATATTTCCTCATTGTTGTTTGTAGCATTGTGGGTAATAACAGCAGTAGCAGCATTTTTATGTGTATTATTCTTTTATATACATTATACCTTTATTTCCAGTTATGTCATTTTTGGTCCTCCAAAGAACATAAAGCATAGTTTGTGCAAAGTAGAATACCATACATTATCATTAGGAGGTAAAGCTCCTGCTTAATATGCTCATTCGCTTTGCAGCTATTTTCAGAGATGTTAGTGTTGAGTCTGTGCCAACACAAACTTAAATTTCTTATTATAAATTACTATTTAATACTTTGCAATTTCAAAATACTTAGTTAACATCTTAATTCAAGTTATGTTACACAGACCAATAAGCTCACATTGAGTTAAAAGTGTTTGTGAAGGGACATGTTCTTCCTCACACTCCCACGGACAGCATGTTGACGCATGTCCTCAGAGCTGTGTGCACATTATGTCTGCTGTGTCCTCTCCTGTAACAGATAATACTGGACTAATATAGGGCTTTGCTGATGGTTAGGTTTTACTCATGATTACAATTATACCTGGAATACATAATAATTATGGTGTAGTGAAAAAGTAAAAAAAAAAAAATTTTGTAAATAATATTTTATTTACTTGATACAATGAATATGTGTAATTACAGCATAAATATGACAGATTATAGTTAACGTGCCCAAGAAAGGTGACTCAGAAGACAATTACAAAAAATCATAACACAGAACAGTAAAAAGTGCTTAGAGATTTAGTTTTCCTTCATCAACAGTCCATTAAATGTGGACAGTGATGGACTTTCTTTGATGGTCAAAGGAACACTGTCCCTTTTGACAGACAGCAAAGAAGCACCACTTTTGGTCAGCTTGTGTTTCCCTCTAGTCATGGTGCCAGTGCCTGTCCCACTCATGGTCCTTCACTTAATGAAGTCTTTCAGTGGTGGCGTTCAAAACATTGAAGACAAAACATGAGTTTTAAAAAGGAACACAATTATCAAAACTGAGTAAACTATACTTTATCAAAAACAATGCAGTTGTGAAATGAGTATTTTTGTTTATCCAAGATTGTTATGGCCTTTTAAAAATACAGATTCTATGGGTTTAAAACATCCTTTAAAACAGCCTTTATCTTACAAAGCAGAAAACATGAGCTATGTAACTTTTTCATCACCTACGTGTCTTCTTGGATATGCTATTGTTTCACATGAAATATTCCATAGTATGGCATTAAACTTTCTTTCATTTAATTGATTACCTCTGTTTATATTGCACTTACCTTGAAAACATCTTTATCGTGAGCAGGGTCACCTATCCATAGATCTGTCTTGAACTTGGCCTGCTTGCATTATCTGCATGTTTCCTTATATAGAGATAACTTTAAAGCAATACTGTGGAACATTCCAGGCAAAGCAATAATGTAAGTGGCAGACTTGTTAAAAAGGTGCATAATGTAACTTTTCTGGACAACAAATTCTTATCAACCACATGGACCAGTTCATATGCTACAAATTTATATTTAAATGTACATAAATATTTATTTTTTTAAAAATTGTTTCAATTGTAATCCAAATAATCATGATCAACTTTTTTCATACTCATAGCATTCCTAACTAACATGTTTTTACCTTCTTTCTTTCTTTCATAAACGTTGTTCTTTTCCCTCTAATACTCTATCAATATCTGTTTAAAACTCCTCACCCTGCTCTGCTCCTTTCCACACTTGTGTCTCTTCAGGGAGGGATGTATGAGAGACAAGCCTCTTTGCCTCTCTTGGATTCTTACGATGGTTAGGCCACACCCACTGTTCACTGCATGTCCCGCATGGTATGTGTGTCCTGCTACAGCACTCGCTCATTCAACGGCCTTGTACTTTACTTTATGTTTGTGTCAGATAAACAGTGACCGTCTGTCTTGTACATACACTGTAATGTACTGTATTTATCAATCGCCCCCTGCTGGTGACAACTATGTTTTGGTCATTGTGTATTGTTCATTTGATTTTTTTCCCCCTATTCAGTTTATGTTCACAGCAGAGGTGGAAAGAAAATTGTGTAACGTGCATTATGAGCAAAAGTACATGTAATTAAAAAGGTCATTTATTTATTTTTTTTTTTTTTCAAATTTTAAAAATGTATCAACTGTTATGGGTCACGCCATATTCCTTTGACATCCTATGCCGTTATTGCTAAAATAATATACTTTTAAAATAAGTTTCATTTAAATGAACAAATTCAATTTAAAACACTGTGAGTAGTTTAGCTATTATGAGAATACAGTATACCGTATATACTTTTCTCCCATTCACACTAAATTCTAAATATTGCAATACTAAATTATGATGCCAGCTTTTATTGAAGTAATAATACATTGTATTAATGCATAATTTTGTTTCTACACAGATTATGGAGTTTATACATACAATATGTTGAAAATAAATATTTGTATACTATATTCCTACATATTTCATTGCATTTATATAAGAGACAGTTATAGTGATTGGTTTGTACTGCCTTCAGTATTCAGAAATCGTAGCTTAGCCCTGTCTTATATTTTTTGTAAATAATTATTCCACCTTTGCTTTGCTGAGTATATTATTTTTATGGTGAACCTAATTTAAATGCGTTAACTATCTTGTCCTAGCATGCCCACCTCCCATAGACCACTTTCAACAACACATTCCCGTTACTTATGTCTTTTCTCTTATTTGCAGAAAAACTGATCGTGTGCATCACCAGACGACAGCCTCCTCCCACCTACTGCCCTTGCTGAATAAAATGGAGGACCACTTCTAAACCAATGACTCTTGATCTCCATTTGTGCATCTGATCTTCTGTCTTTCCTCAAAATCTATCACAAAATTGCTTCTCTCTTCCTCCTCCTCCTCCTCCTACCATTTACATTCCTCCTCCGTTGTGGCTCTCCTGTGGATAACTGGACATTAACTAAAAAAAAAAAGACACTTTATTCTTAGCTTCTTCAACATGCAACAAACACTATGGAAAAACACTAAATGTAAAGAAAGACATCTTTGCTGAACTTTATTTTGTTTAAGCATTGTCTAATTACAACAAACTATGGGATCCAAATGGGACACTTTCTTTGCTGGTAATCTAGAGGAATACATATTACTGTTTTGGAAGAGAAAAAAAATGAGGGAATGTGTATTTTTCTGTAATGTTTAAACTAAATAGTTCCTGACAAAAAAATGATCTTCATTAATCTCCTAATCTCAAACTTGTGCTACTTTATTATTCAGTTGTGGTTCTCTTGCTTTTCGCACTGTACCAATTTTTTGTACATGTGCCAAAATGTTCCTGCTACTGCCGCATCTGCCAATACAAATGCATTAATATTTTGAATTTATATAATGCTCACAGCCTTTACAAATATGCATATTTGATTCACTTTACCAAAATGCATGAAATTGCTGCATTTTATGGTCATGAATGTCGCCTGTAGATTCAGATGGTCCTAAGCTAACTCATTTTTTTTGTCAAGTTCACAACAATTAGTAAAATTTTATGGAAAAGTACAATTTTAGTAGTTACATTTACAAATTAAACCTCATGCATATCTAAGCAGGCATTGAACAAGAATAAGACAAAATGGCCCAACCTCTTACAATGTAAAAAGATCCACACAAAATGTGAAATATTTTAATTGAGATTAAATATGTATATTCGGTTAATCAGATATCGAATAGGTTATTCATATATTTCAGATTGATGAAAAATGTGCACTGTTGCCGTTACAGTTAACAATTCAAAACAAAATATTAAAAGACTGAACCCATTAATATTTGGTTTTCACAAATTAAACAACAATTTTAATATATTATTCTGTGTATTCTCACATCTACTGCTTAGAGTACTTAGAATTTAAAATTTTCATTGCTTAACTTTTTATATTGCCTGCTTGTTTCCATGAAGATGTTACTGCTACGTAGTATGGCATTAAACATATCCAAATTAATATTTCATCCATTAGAGGTGTTTTCCTCCTTATAAATGCCTTTTTAATACATACATTCTTACTGTGAGCGGGGATTCCTCTACACAGATCTGACCTGCAACTTGGCCAGTTGGCATCATTTGCTTGTCGCCATGGAGATGAATAAGTTCAGTGCCAAACTGTGGAACATTCTAGGCAAAGCAATAACATTTCCACAGAGATGAACAAGTAGGTGGTGTACACTTACTCAGTTACTCAGAGCATGTTTAATCTATCTATTAAAAGAACTACTTTTCCATGATATTTAAATTAATTGCTGGACTGTACATGTAATGAGTTTGTTGAAAAATCCTTTAATAGTTAACTATTGTTGCAGTTAATCTATTCCCTGTATGTTCCTTAACTTTGTAACATTTGAGGGATATTGCTGCAGTGAGACTAATGTTGTGGGGTCCTTTCTAACTTCAGGTCTATATTCGTATTGAATGTGTACATATAAAATGTCGGTAACAGTGTCTTAATAGTGGGCCAATGGAGTGCCTCTGTGTCCTGCTTAACACTATACAACGTAACTAAAATCAATGTCTTTTACTCGACTTGATATAAGTTGAGCTGAACTTTTCTACTCAAGATAACGGTTAATATGTGAACTTAATGTTACGTATGATTCTTGTGGGATTGGCATTTTATAAGGTATTAACCTCCACTGTTCAAACGTGTAGTTCAAACTCTACAAAAGCAGTGTTTTGTCTGCTAACCTTTGCTTTTCCTGTCAAAAATAACCTAATGCAAATTGAGGTGTACATAATTACATTAAGCATAGGGGGTTAACCATCTTTTCCAATACATTTTGTTGCTTTTTCTTGTATTTGTTTCTTTAGCCAATCCAAACACTACAAAGTTGCCTTTAAGAGTGGACTGACAAAGAGGACATTTGGGGAGAGCAAGGGTTAGTTAAATTAATTGGTGTAATTACGGAGGCAAAGACCAGAATTTGCTATAGTTAAAATGGAGTAAAAAATAAAAATAAAAAAGCACATTTAAACTATATATACCAGAGAATATTTGTTAATTTTAATGCTTTTATGTATTTTTGTGTTTCTTTTTATATTGATTTTTGGTTTAATTTTTTTTGGGTGCTTTGGGTGAACGCATATGCAATCAGTTGTAGTTTGATTCAACAGTTTGTATTAATTAAATGCAAAAAAAACTCTTTCAGCCTTCAACATACTGGAAACACTAATGACAAGAAAATCTGATTATTGTTATGCCTTGGCTCTTAAAGTTGCACATCATTTATGAATGAAACATGTAACTAGCAATACTGTTTTTAATAAAAGAGAAAATGATTTTTCAAATAAGAGTATGTTTGATTTTTCTTTTGTGTGGCCAGTAGATGTCACTGTCAACACTGGGTGGACATTTAGCAAAAGGGTAATTATTCAAAAGGATGTTAAAACTTCAGTATTTGGAGACAGTTCCCAGTCCAAAAATCAGGATTTCTACAAACTGCAGCACTATAGGCCAGCACGTAAGCGGAAATCTGGATGTTTTTTAAGTTTTGTTTTTTTTTATGTTTGGAGCAATCAGAATAATCAAACATTGAATACCCATTTAACGCTACGATAAATGCACTCGTAAGTTTTGAAAAACATGCTTGTGTAGACGTATTTTAATAGTTTGACATTAATTATATGAAAACAAACTGCCAAATGTTTCAGTGGCTAAAACAAAGTATAATATTTGTCTCAGTCTGTTAAAACCATTGTCAATTGGTTGTCATTGTCACTATTCACTATATAAAAGAATATACACATGTACGGGCTATGGTCAAAACATGTATTAATGTTGCTAATAAATTTGTGAATTTAATCAGTGCATTAACGATTCAGATAAAAGTTAATTGTTTCTTTGTTGGATGCAATTGTGGAGCTCCACGTGTTTTTTCAAAGTCAGTGGTGATGCTATGCTAATTGTGCTAACTACCGACAAGACAAGTACTTCTGTTTTATGTTTTTGAAACACATGGAAACCCCCAAAATTGGCATATTCTCACATTCACAATGAGCTTCTTTTCTGAATCAGATCAATGACTAAATTTAAGGTTATACTTCAACGCTGTTTGATTTCTTTACCATTTATGTCAGTTCAAATGTAGACATGCGGAGGTACTGGTTGCCAGATTATGAGAAGAAGCTCATTGGGGAGCTGCAAAGACAACAGAACAGCGCTCAGTTCTGCGACACTTTACTGCAAACAGAAGGTAAGAGACTGTGCAGCTAGATTGGTGGTCCACTAACTAAAAAGGGTGTGGTTCACACCTCAATTTTCAGTTTTTGGTGGAGTTGTGTCCTTGGGCAAAACACTAACCCACCCTGCCGCCGCTGCCCACATTGGTATGAAAGTGTGATTTGTTCTATAAAGTAATACACCATGAAACGCCAAGGAAAGCTGTAGACTCAAACTTTTCTCACCAAGTACCACCAAGAAAGTATTTGGCCGTCACCACCAGATCTGAAATAGGTCTATAATAGGACTATTTTAGGTCTAAACTAGTGCTAGACCAGTGTCCATTGGCACAATATAAGCTAAAAACACACTCTCTTTTAATTATGCTGTACATAGTAGGCTATTTTTCCTTCTATTGTTTCTGCAGGTATTTCCATCCCCACCCACAGCAGTGTCCTGGCCGCTCTGAGCCTGCACCTGTCCCATAGACTGTCGACCTCTTCCCCGCCCCCTGCTGTTCAGAAGCACACGCTGCAGCTCCACACTTTGAAGCCGCATATTCTTTTAAAACTGATTGGTTTGTTGTACTCCGGAGAGCTTGAGGTTAGCGGTGTCGTGGAGCAGAGAGATGTACTAGCAGCTGCTCATTTGTTTGGGCTCCCTGATCTAGTTGAGAGAGAAAAAGTTGAAGTTAGAAATGATCAGAATGGTTGCAAAGACTGTAAGAGGGTTGAAATTGAGAAAAGAGATGCACAAATTCAGGTTTCACCGAGAAGCTTTTGTGTATCTATTGGCACACAGACAAGTACATCCAATTCTGAGAATCAAGAGACTGCTTCCTTATCTTATGTTCATCAGAGTTGTGGCAGTGTTGAAAACGTTGGAATTAACACATCAGATAACTCAACTTCCACAGCTTGCACAGAACATTCAAAGACATACAGTGAAGAAGAGTCAGTTTTAGAAAGATCGACAAGTGCAACACTCAGTTTGTCTTGTCCAAGTGAAAATATGACGTTGCATCTTTCACCAAGCGAGGATTCAATTTGCTCAAGGCTTCAGGAAGGAGAGACCCAGCCAACCCAACCCGAGACCAGTGCGCCGTGCATCTTTGGCAGTCCAGAACTGGTGGAGGAAGAGGAGGAAGAGTCAGAGGTCTGGGAATTAAAAGTGCCAGAAAATAAAGAGAAAACTAACCAGGAAACCAGGAAGGAGGGGGCTGGTGTAGTTAAAAAAAGGCAAGTTTGTAAAAAAGTGGCCACCAAAAGTCTGGAGAAGATGCAGGAGATGATGGAGGCTACACAGATTTCAATCAAGGTTAGAGCATTTTCTTTTTATGCAACTTAAGAAATTGATTAGGATTTTACCAAGAGCAAAAAATGGGGAACTGAAAATAAAAATCAGAAATCAAAACAAAAATGGCTGAAAATAAATTCCTAATAGTATATGAACTGTCATTTTGGGTGGTATTATGCTTTGGACAAGGAACACCTAAATATTTTTTCTCACACTGCCTATTGCAATTCATGTATAATAGCATACTGTATTGGACCATCAAAACTAAGTACACCTTCTTTAAGTATCCAGTAACTAAAGATGTTTTAATCATGTTTTTTTCTTCACTCTGAGCAGGTGAAGTTAAGGAGGAAAGGGACCAAGGAGGAGATGTGGGAGGTGGTGAATCTGCAAGAAACGGATGCTTTTTCAGATTCTATCTCTCTTAGAACGGTAAAATGAACCCTTAAATATATAATTTTTATGTTATCTGTCAGCATTGTATATTGTTTTTCTTTAGGATAATTGTAAAAGGCCACAGGGAGAACTTACAGCTGGCCAACCCTGTCCATCCACTGATCAAGCCCCTGAACTCATCACCAGCTCTCCTAAACCAGGACCTCTCACTCGCCTTGCATCCGGTGAGTCAGTGAGTGCCCCAAGTGGTAACCCTGTGGCACTACATCCATCCCGTCTTGTAGAGGAGACAGATGAGCAGATAGAGAAGCTGCTGGAGGACATCATGATTGGCCTGAACATACTGCCAAATATTAACAAAAGAAATGACAAGTCCAGGGTTCTAGATCTGAACCACGAAGGACCCTCCCAGGTCCAGAAGGACTGTGCTTGTTGTGAAGACAATGGGGATCAGCATGGCAACTACTCAACAGAAACAGGTATATTATACATACTGTCTACATTTTCTAATGATATTAAAAATAAAAGTATTTATATATTGCTAAAGTAGCAAAAACTCAAAATGCATTTATAAATACAGTATAAAGGTGCATGTATCTTTTATGGTTTGTCCTGCCTGCTTGCCTGGAATGTTCCAATTATGACATTATGACGTTTTCAGTTCTTCTGTGAACTGGGCCTCCTCTACATAGACCTGACCTATAAACTGGCCTAGTGGTGCCACCTTCCTAAATTGACAAATAAGTTGAATGCCATACTGTGGAACATTCCATGCAAGCAGGTAACAGATCCTCCACTAGAAAAGTTACACAGTACTATTGGTAGTACAGTAGTAATATTTATTATTTTTCATTATATTTTTCCTGTGTGAAAAGTTACACAGTACTATTGGTAGTACAGTAGTAATATTTATTATTTTTCATTATATTTTTCCTGTGTTGCTGCTTTAGGTGATTCTGGGTGCATTGTCGATCCTCCTTCAAAACCATGTGGCCCCAACAGTGAATTGAGCCTGAATAATTCTTGCACCTCTGCTGGAAGAGGAGATAGTCCCCAAAACTCACCATGTACAAAGGCATCTCCCTGCCTGTTCGCAGCTAACACAGAATGTAATCCCCCAGAAAACCCAAACATCCTGGAGTTTCTACCCATTTCCACAGAAAATGAGGACAGTTTGTTTTCTATGGCTGATCTTCAGTTTCTCCCATGTCTGTCTCCTTTAGATTCTAACAATAATTCAACCAATGAGAATAAAACCCCAGCTTACTCATCTCTACCTGGGCGAACCTGGCTTATGGACAGTCCTAGATCACTACAGTTTCCATTGGCAACTATTGCTAGTACAAGTAGTGGCTGTAAGGAAAAGGGAAGCAATAATGAGACAGATGCCCTACTTACTAGCAAACAAAAAGTGTCAAAAAAAAAGGATAACAATGTAACACCTGCAAAAAGGAGGTGCCCAAATCTTGGTATAAATAAGTCTTATAAGGATTTAAAAGTGAAAACTGATGGTAATGTTAACTTGAGTCACTGTTTGGTGAGTTTGTCAAGCAATAATGTGCTTGCAAAAGACAGAACGAGTCCCACCACTGCATCACCAAGCAATGGAAGCGAACCACAGACTATGATAACAAGATGTTTAAGATCGAAGACCAAAACTAGTGAGACTACTTTGAGAAAAACGCCAATCAGGACAAGAAGAAAATTGCAGTGTAGTCCTAGCTCTCCAGAAATGTCTTCCCCCAATCCTGAAATGAGTAAAAATGAAAGAAAGCGTGGAAGACCAAGAAAAAGGATTGTAAATAAGGAGAAAAGTGAGCAACAAATTCAAAATACAAGTTTGAACAGGACAGATGAAGTACCAAGCCGAGCTAAAAGGCCCAAACAGGAAGAAGACATTGAAGAAGGTCCCTCAGAACAGGTGGATAGTTCATTTGATGCAAAAACAGATGACAATCGTATAGTTACAGCAGAGAAGAAACCTCGTATGGTGAGCCTGAAGGAGTTTCAAGAACTTATCAAACGCAAACATTTGAAAACACAACGTACAAAAGACAAGAGTGAGAAAGAACAAAGCAAACATGTGGAAAATTGTGAAAGGGGGGATGCAGTTAGGGCAGACTCAATTCGGGAAACGGATGTTGCTAATACCCATTCAGCCAATACTGATGTGATAGAAGACAGTGACGAACAGCCCCTAAGCAAACTATGTTCAAAACAGTCGGCAAATGCTCAAAAGACTCCACCTCCAGTAGACAACTGCACCAGCTCCATCAATGAGTTGAGTAATTTATCTGAAATCAGTGACCAGTCTGAGATCTGCATCGAAGTCATCCCCAAAGAGGTGACCAAGCTCTCAGAAGAAATGGAAGCGGATCAAAGGACAATGCCACAGCTGTTTGATGATGGTGAGTTTAAAGTTAGGCTTCATTAAGGCTGCGCTTTGTATACCATCCACTAGCTTTACAAAACAAGAGTGTCTACCTAGATTAGTTGGGCATAACTTTAAGTTTTAAAAAGAGACTAGTGGATGTTAATATTATTTATCAAGTAATGAAACTGACAGAGCGTAATTACTCATCTACTCTTGTCAAATATTTTTCCTTGTGGATCAATTTGTGCTTGACCTGCGTCTTACTTGATTAAGAGCCTAATTCCAATGACCTGTCCTTAAGATAAAAGGTATATAAGTTCAATAATTAATACTGCTGCTGTATATATTGTTTCTAAAATATTATTTTAGAATATTTTAAGTATAAATGGGATAAACTCTTGTGCCTCAATGCCTTGCTAGATAAAAACAAAAACAAAAACAAAAAAAGGAATTCAAGCCTGCAATAATTATGTTCTGAATCTAATGCATGCAGTTTTACTGAAAATGTATCAAATAAAAGTAAATAATATAAAAATGTTAAGTGATGAGTGTTAATAGTTAAAGAAATAATGGCATTAATGTCTTGATCTTGGGAAAAAAAACAACAACTTGTAATTGACCTGTCTTCTTGACTTTTTCCTGTAGTTGTCACAGGCTGTCAAAGTGAAAATGAACTCACCATTGACGATTCATTCCAACACACTGCAGCACACTTTGAAAACGACACCTCGGCAAACAACAGTTCAGACTTATATGAATCCAAACACAGTGATGCCAAGAACTCAAAAGAAACGGAGCTGAGTACCAGGAGCTCAGGCGGTCTTCAGAATGACGAGGAAGACGTGGACATTCTACTTCATTCTCCAGATCGAACTTCAGTAACAACAGAGGGTCAAAAATCTGTGGAAATCTCCCATGATGAAGAGGAGGAAGAGGAAGAGGATAGTAACGATGTTGACGTGACTGGAAGTGAGACAGATGCATAAAGGCTTTGTATGTGTGAAACTTTTAATGTTCACTATGCAGATTTTTTGTTCTAGTAAAACACCCATTGAAATGTCAACATTCAGAGACTTGCCATGCTGCTAAATCAAATTATGTTCATATTCTAGATGTTACTTTTCTATTTTGTTTTCAACTTGACCTCAGTATCTCATTTTTATATTTAAATGATATGCTAATAGTCTTTACTTTTACCATTTGAGCATTTTGTTTGTTTTATTTAATTGTACGTTTGTGGCATGAGTTTTTTTTTTTAAAGAATAAAGGTTTATTACTTTTATTTAGTTTATTATTACAACTTAACAGAAATATATTTTGTGCATCTGTATCTAAATAAATATAAATATAAAATACTTGTATACAGTTTGATTAGTTGTTTTTGTTGTTACGTTTTGCCATTTTATTGTGGAAAAATCAAAATTACATAACATTTTAATGATAATTTTGTAATAATAATAATAATGCTAATAATTTTCATGGATCTATTAAACTTTTTTTTTTTTTATCTACATGGTTTTAACAGAAGTACCAGTAGAGGGCGCGCTAATTTATGGTCACTTTGAATGTAACTTTATTGACACCGGAAGTAGTGAGTGAAGCTCCACACGTGCGGTTTGTTCAGGATTTGAAGGTTATAGCCGAGGCAGCGGACAGGTTCAGGTGGTCTGTCCGCAGAGTGAGGGCTAAAGCCGGGTGAGAGTGACCGGGAATAGTGTGTGAGCGGCGGACAGACGCAGACATGGATCCTATGAAGGCGCAGCAGCTTGCGGCGGAGCTGGAGGTGGAGATGATGGCTGACATGTACAACCGGTAAACCCACACAATAGCTAATACTGACCAATTTAGAAGCAACATTTTGCAGTTTGATTATTATAATGTCCCAGACGGAACATTTAGGAGGATGTGACCGACCTACTCTTCAAGACACATTGGTATACTGGGTTGTGTAACAGCCATCTGCGGAACATGCACGTGAATTATATTAGAGCCGCACCACAGACTGTATATATCTTTATACACTCTATGAAGGTCACTCCTTTTTCAAACTGAATGTAGCTTTGCATTTATTGTTGTAATTTGTATAATTAAACATTTAATTTAAGGTTTGATATTGTCTCATATACAGAGATAGCGGCCTATAGTAGCCTAAATATGCAGAGGGTCAATATGCCAAACATACCTGTATCTAATGTCTTTAAGAGAGTGACTGCAGACCTCTACCAGAGTGCACCTCACTCTCCACCGGCATAGCCCTCCCAATTTTCCATTAGTTTATGCTATAAACAACTTAATTGCACGTTCTTTAAGTTGTTGCCTTGGATCATCTGTCTATTAAAGGCCATTAAAAGTTATAAAGCTCATTTCAATTTCTTTAGAGCAAAGCTGTAAACTATTTTATTATTTTTTTGATTAAATGTCTTTGAAGTACTTCAAGTACTTATGATTTGCTTGCTCCCATTATAAGCCGTGTAGATTCCCACAACAACTTGTAGCTGTTGAAGTAGTAGCCTGAGCGATTCTAAACATTCCTTGTCTCAGTCCTGCAAATTATTGGACTACTGACCTTAACCCCAAATCTGTCATTTTTCAGATTCAACTGAATATGTTTCTGAACCCTTTGTGGCACATACAAATGGCTCGGCTCTTTGTGAGGCTGAGGCTCTATATTTTTGCCCTCTGTTGTCTGATCTAATATAATGGGAACAAGCTATGAATGAGTCTGATTTCAGATCCGACCTGGATTATTTTTGTGACTCTTGTACTTCTGGGCACTATTATTTTTATGACTTTAAGGATATATAGGCTATAACTGTCTGGAGGTTTTCGGTTTTGACAATTCCCATGTCAAAGCTGATGCACATGTCAAAAAAATTACGTAGGTAGGGGAAAAAGTCCAGTCAATATAAAAGTTGTATTCAACTTTTGTGAATTTTATTTATTTATTTATTTATTTTTGGGGTACAGAGTGGTCCTGATTCTTTTTTATTTCTTCATATTTTCAGATGGCGGATAAAAAGAAATTCAAAGGGCCCTCAGACTCTACACTATAAAACATAATTTTATCTCTGTTCTTTTGATCTTTATCGTTCTGGTTACTATTTCTGTCTGACGTACAATTTATGCTTTACCATTTCAGAATGACAAATGCGTGCCATCGGAAGTGTGTTCCTCCACATTACAAAGAGGCAGAGCTCACCAAAGGAGAGTCTGTGTGTTTGGACCGATGTGTGGCCAAATACTTGGACCTTCACGAGAGACTGGGGCGCAAACTGACCGAACTGTCCGTGCAGGATGAGGAGATGATGAGGAAAGGGGCTGTCGGGAGCGGATAAAAGGAAAATGATTTAAAACAACAAAATATATAACATGACTAGTGGGAAGCAACAGGGGATTTTTGCTCGAAATGGGAAACTGAAATAAAAAAACAGGAAGTACTCTCTCAAGTGGGACTGAGCAGAAGCATGATAAGAAAGAGTTACCTGTTTGTCTTCAAATAAAAAAAAGTTGGACTGAATATGCTTCTAGCCATGGACTGTATGTAGTTGCCAATTGGAAGACACATTTTTATCTTCCACCATCACAGTTGATTGTTTGTGTGAATATTTGGCAGGTCAAAGAATTCAACCAGATCCTCAATTTTGTTTCTTCGCTCGAAACAATATTTTAAGTTTTATTTCTTGCGAAACACTTTTTGAGATGCTCTTAAGACTGCTTCAGTAGGATGGTTAACAACTTGATCAAGCTGTTATGTAGGCAATGTCTATTTACAGTAAACTGATGGACAAAGCTGGATGCACTGAAGTCTAGAAGTCTTTATAAACGCACTATGCATTGTTTAGTCTATGAGAAGAACTTGATCTTTCTCTGTTGTACTGGATTTTCTGATTACTTATAGCAGGAGTGTCAAACTCATTTTGGTCCGGGGGCCGTATCCAACCTACTTTGATCCTAAAGGGGCCGGATCAGAAAACTCATGGCATATAAACCCCAAAAATAATAAGTTCAAATAATTGCGCAGAGAAACGCAAATCTATTACAGAAATCTTTTTTAATTGATGAACTCTTTCTTTTACAAAATATTATAATATTATGAAAAAAAAATGCTATTTCAACACAATGTTTTAACATTAACTTGTATGCAAATAGGAATAAGTAAATTTTTCTTGGAAAATCCTGCACTCGGCGTCCACTTTTCTCATGTTGGACATTTTGCTGATGAGGGTGTCATCTTCATTTGTGCTGCTCTGGTGGGAGGGGCCACGTACAGAGGCGCTGGAGACGCTGCTATGCTAAGCGGAACAGAAAATTACCAATATTTTAATAGAAAATATGATTCAAATATTTTAGTAGAAAATCAGATGAGGTCCAGATTAAAGGTCTTGGAGGGCTGGATCCGGCCCCCGATCCTTATGTTTGACACCTGTGACTTATAGGATATTTACATAAATGATGTGAGAACTATTTTGTGCTTTGTCTGTGGACCATGTATTGATTTTTTTTCTGTTTTATTTGTAGGATTTTTTATCTTCATATTCAAAGTCACATAATGTTTAAATGTCAGTTGTCTCAAATAAACCAATACAATTATAAATCATTTTGACTTGAATTGATTTTGGTTAGTCAATACCTTCCACGTTTATACTTGATTTAAAGTGGCAGTAATCAACTCTGCAATCATAATGAAAGCTTTTCCTCATGTTGTGTACCTGCGCCTTTAAGAAAACCAATGAGGAAGCGACGATTGTACTAACTTTTTCGTTTCCCTCGTGAAAGTTTTATTTATAAGTCGAGGGTTTACATATGAAAAGAGAACTAGCAGCTGTGTACCGCGACAGCGACAGTCCACATGAGCTCTTAATGATAAATAGCATAACTTTATCATTAAGACGTAAAGCAGCTGGGACATTACAAGCATGGTAAGCGATCGTTTGACAGTATAAAAGTAAACATAGGTACGACCAGACAGCTGTAATATTGTTGTCGATGTTTTAAAATGAATCGATTTGTTTTAAAACTTGTGTAGATTAGTGGTAAATCGATATAAACCTATAGACAATTTTTGGTGGTAATAAGGAGTTAATCTGTCACATAATGTAAAGAGAAGTAGTTTAATTCACATCCTCTTATTTGTGAATTTGCACGAAACATTTAAAAAGAGGAACTGAATGTATTCTAATCATCTAATATTACACCCATGACAATATTAACAAAGTAGCCTATAAATAAATAACAATGCGATGCATAGCAATGTTTGACTGTAAATATTGTCATTGATGTACAAACACGTAACAATGATAAATCATGCATGAAGCCTTTGATTTACCCTTAAATTTGAATACGTTTTCTTCAGGCTTTTCTTTTGATGCAGTAATATTTCAAATCAACATAATTCAGAAAATTAAAACAATGCAATAAACATACACAGGCATTAAAAAAAAAAAAAAAAAAAAAAAAAGCCACATTGTTGCTCAATTTAAAACAGACGCCAGGGCTTTATCTGTTGAGGTGACAGGTCGGTGTAATTCCTCATTTGTCCAGAGTGATGCAGGGTTCAAAAGACATATTTGACATTAAATAGAAGCCATTTCAATTAGATGTTTCTCGTAGATTTATAATGCATTATAAATACTAGTGCCTCAGAACCCTTTCCTCCTAACATCTCTGATTAAAACAAATACAAATATTTTTATATATGAATTTACCTTTATGGATGATGAATTTAAATTCGTTATGCAACATAACGTTATTCGTTATGCAGCTTTAATGCCAAAATAAATGTATGTGTGTACAATGATTCTCACTTTCTCACAGGCATTTATGTATTTTAAAACTATATGCTATATTTGATATTTTTGCTCTAATAAGTGTGAAGCCAATGTGCTGCTTGTTTTGGTCACTAGATGGAAGCAACTGATGGGGAAGAGTTGATCAGAGAGGCTGCTGAACATGTAGCACCCCCCAATGGTGTAATCAATGAAGTGCTTGACGCGGGACAGGAGGACAATATGCAAGAACAGGTATGATTACTGTTCTGTTATAATTATTGTGAGAAGAAACAACCCAGTTTAGCTAATAATAATAATAATAATAATAATAATAATAATAATAATAAAATAATAATAATAACATGTATTTATATTTATATAGTTAATCTGGCACACACAGCCAGACAAAACAGCCCTTCACGAACAGAGTTAATATGAATTAATTATTTTTTCTTTTACCATTGTTACAGTTATTGTCAGCTCTTAGGACTGATTATATTGTGCCCTGTAAAATCACAACTAACCAAATAATCTTGACATCCCCAGATTTATATAAGTATAAAACAACCTTATTATCATAGTCTGTGATCCTTATATTTTATGTGTAAATTGTGTCATGTGTGGTAAGCTGAGATGTTCTTTTGTAAGATGGAGGAGTTTCTGGGCCCACAGCCTGAATACAATGAGGAGGAGGAGGAGAGGAAGTACTACAGAAGGAAGAAGCTGGGAGTGATCAAGAATGTGATTTCAGCCAGCGTCGCAGCAATGATCGTATATGGAGTTTACATGGGTGGGTCTCAAATTAATGGCATGACGTGAGAAAAGCATGCAATATACCAAACAGAATGTGAAACAGCTGAATAAAAAAGTAATAACTGTATTTACTAGTTTTTACTTTAAAAAGACAAATCCAAGCCAAACACAGTAAAACAAGGGTGTGCTGGCCAAATAATACTTTATTTTTTATTTTAACAAGACTTAAATTTGAACCAGTTTAATATAGATGAATAGCAATGCATTTTTTGCACAAAAAATGCTTCACAGTTAAATGAAGACAGTCCGCAGTGGTCTGATTTTGTGTCAAAGTAATATTTTTTATCATACACTTGGAGGATAAAGCTAACTAATTTAAAGTCAAAAGTTAGATATAAATTATACTCAAATTTCCTTATTATATGGATACGAGTCTCACTGTTAATATTGTATCTCTTAGATTCAATAGCCTATTCATTAGCATCTTTACCTGGTTTAAGATTTACAATGAAATCAAGAACTAGACAAATCTGCTTTATGACTTTCTTTAAACTGCTGTCTGTCAAAACTACTGTACTGTTGATCACACATACAGCTGGTAACTGTATGTGTGTTGATCATATATACAGTTACCGGCTGTACTACATTGTTACGTCACCTCAAAAGATCTTAGAAAATATGTGTTTAGATTATGTAGCATTTTAGATTCACTTTCTTAGTTTCTTAGCATAGTTTGTATAATACTGTATGATGACTTAGGCATTTAAAGTTAATAGGGCCCCTTAAGCATAAAAGCATCTCAGATTATTGAGAAAAAATTATGTAACTTCTCTAGTGATTTGGTCAAAATTTTCTGTATGGAAATATAAAATTTTTCTATTTAGCATATATTCAATTACAAGTGTTTTTATTGCTAAAAAATATCTTAAAAATGTTACTATGAGTAGGGTTACCTCTCCACAGGTCAGACCTGTCAGATGAGTTAAATGCCATACTGTGGAACATTCCAGACAAAGCAGGAACATCTCCATATAGTTCACTAGAACTCCAAACACTTGTTGTACCCAGCTTGAGTTAAGGTTTTGTTTTTGAGCCAATTTTTTAATGCTTGTTTCATTACTGTTAAATAACAGGTCTGAATTTGGGTCATGGTTTGTTTCCGTTTTATTCCACATTGGCTGAATCAGGTTAAGAGTCCATTACTCACACCTACCTGAATGTTTTGTATAGGGCTCTTACAGATGCAGCTGATCCTCCATTATGACATGACGTATCGCGAGGTGAAGTACAGCAACCTCGGGCTTCAGGATATCGACCAAAAGATGATGATGGGAATCAACGTCACCCCCATCATAGGTCTGCTTTACACCCCTCTGCTCATCAGGTACGAAACTAACTACCACTTTCAATTAAAGGTGCTTTCTGTAACATTTCTACTGGAGTATCCGTCACCCGTTTGTCTCTATGGAGACATTACTGCTTTGCCTTGAATATTCCATGGTATGATTGTAAATGTAGCCATCTCTGAGGAAATAAGCAGAAGAACCCACCAGGCAAAGTTACAACTCAGTTCCGTGGAGAGGCAATCCAACTCACAGTAAGAAGGCATGCACTATGTGTGCAATTATTAGGCAAGTTGTATTTATGAGGATTAATTTTTTAATTGAACTACAGTGCTCTCGGTCAATCCAAAACGTTAAACCTGAATATTTAAGCAAGTAGAAGTGAGATTTTTGCTTTTCTTAAGAAAAAAAAAATCTGTGTGTACAATTATTGGGTGACTATTAGTGTGCAGTTATTATGTAACTAAATGAAAAATGAAACATTTCCCTCCTCACTTGTTTATTTTTATCTTGATCTGTTGACGATTCACTTTTTGTGTAGTAGCAACTACAGTTTCTTAAACATTTTTCAGAGAGGTGGACCGTTTTCCTTCACTGGAAATCTCCCATTTAAGGCCCACAAGTTCTCAAAAGTTAGGTCAGGTGAGAGAGGGGGCCATGTCATTATTTTTAATGACATTATTAATGTCATTATTAATGACCTTAAAGATAATAATGACACATTATTTATCTTTAATGTCTTTACTGGCTTGCCATGCAGTGGAGTACTTCGATGCATGGGAATGAGCATTGTCCTGTCTAAAATCATGGTCCTCTTGAAAGACGCAGACTTCTTCCTGTACCACTTTTTGAAGAAAGTGTCTTGCAGTATTTTTTGAAGTTCATTTTGACTCCATCTTCACCCCGAAAAGGTCCAGCAAGCTCATCTTTAATAATACCATCCCATACTCCACCTGCACCTTGCTGGCATCTCGAGGTGAAGCTCTGTGCTCATTTCTGATCCAGCCACGGGCCCATCCATCTGGTCTGTCAAATGTGACTCTCGTCTCATCAGTCCATAAAATCTTGAAAATATCTTCAGATATTTCTTGGGCTGGTCTTGACATTTCAGCTCATGTTTCTTGTTCAGTTGTGGTCATGCTTCAATCTTCCTTACCTTGGTCATGTCTCTGAGCTCTGAACCTCTTGTACTTCTGGGCACTCCAGTAGTAGGTTGCAGTTCTGGAGTATGACAACGCTGAAAGATAATGGCTTCATGTTTGAGTCTTCTCAGATCTCTTGCAGTTAATTGTTTTTTTCCTCAACATGTTTCTTATGACACTGTTGACTATTGGCAACAAAACGTTTGATGGTTCTGTGACCGCACTCCAATAGCTTTGCAATTTCAAGAGTGCTGCATCCCTCTGAAAGACTTTTTACAATTTTTGACTTTTCAGAATCAGTTAAATCTCGTTTTTGGCCCATTTTACCAGAGGAAAAGAAGCTGCCCAGTAATTGTACACACCTTGATATAGGGTGTTGATTTCCTTAGGCCACACCCTCCACCCTACATCCCCTTTTATGTTTAACTTTCTATGGAGTGGCTGTCCCTCCACATTTAAAACAACCACATATAGTGTAACTTTATAATAAAATGTTACTTCTCAGAGTTGTTTTCTAACAACATACTTTTACTTTTAATATTTTTAATGCACTCTTAAATTTAGAAATTTTGATTCCCCATTCCATTGCTAGACAATAGTCAGTGTAATTTCTTGACTACTCTCCTGTCCAGGTTTTTAGGCACCAAGTGGATGATGTTTTTAGCTTCAGGGATCTATGCTCTGTTCGTGTCCACTAACTACTGGGAGCGGTACTACACCCTGGTCCCATCAGCTGTGGCCATTGGAGCGGCAATTGTGCCTCTTTGGGCGTCACTAGGGCACTACATGACCAGGTGAGAGACTTTTAAACAGAGCGTGTGAAAACTGCTGCATTTGATGTCAGACAAAGGAGGTTAGCAGACCACAGTCTTGCTCTGGAGTGCTAATATCTGCTGCAAATTACATGTTAACTCACCCTATTTAAATTGTGTAATGTCTTTGCTTAGAAAGAATTTGAGGTAGTCTGACGTATGTAAACTTCCCAATATTTTTGAATTACATTTCACACCAAGATCCTCTTGAGGGACTGTAAACAAAAAATAATATCAGAGAAATCCAATTTCAAAAAGGCATCATAAGATCATGTTGGTTACTGGTTTATGCCATTCCCAAACATGTGTAAATGGAAAGGGTTGCATTCAGAATTATTGTCCCAATCCAAAATGCCAATCACTGCTTGCTAGGAGGAAGATGGGTTTTCTGTAGAAATCTCTGAAATTTTAAACGGACAGGCAACATGTTGTATTGTTCATTTAAACAGTAAAAATTGTTAACTGACATTCTGCTTAGTTTAGGGAACTGAAACTAGGCTTGCTGTTGAATATGTAAATGCATTAAAGAACTACTTTTATTTTAATGCTAGCTTAAATTGTTTCACAGTACTATTGGGTATATAATCTAAACAATGAGTGGCTTGTCAATTTGCACAACATGTTCTAGTTCATTGTTTTCTAGAGCATTTTTTTCCAGTATTGTACATTTTCAGCAAACAAAACATTTCTAGCAAATTTTATGTCTAGAAGGCTTGTTACGATGGTCAAAGCACTAGCAACCGTCAACAATCAGTAAAATGCATACCAAATGATAAGTAAATTGTTGTTATAGCTTTATGTTGTAGATTTGTATTTATCTAATTTTCTATGATACTTATAACACTTGTAGTATTTGCAGTATTATTTATATTGTTTTGCTGTTTTCCCAGGATGGCCCAGCAGTATTACGAGTATGTGAATTATAAAGAGGAGCACGTTCAGGAGCAGAAGAAGCTCCCGAAAGGCGCCTGTCACAGCTACATCATTGTTTTCCACTCTGTCTTCCACATTATCTTCAACGTGAGTGTCCCTGCGGTTGCAGCTCTGCAAATTGAGTTTATATTAAAAAGTAACATTAAGATAGCAGTTGTTAAGTGTCTGTGTTTTTTTCCCCTCACAGTTAAGTTTCGTCTTTGCTCAGTTCCCCATGCGTCTCATCCTGCATCACTACCTCATTGACAACCAAGCACACATTCTCTGCAACGTCAAGTCATGTGGTGAATATACAACAAACTATTTATTAGAGTTAATGCTCCTTTTAATTAAAGGTACTCTATGCAACTTTAGTGACTTGTTTGATTATTACTTTAACTGTAACCATGATATGGTATAATTTGGCATCCAATTATGGTAAAGTGTTTTTATTGCAAAGTGTTATTGCTGTTAGCTTAGAGGTGGCACCTGCTTGTTTCCATGGCGATAGAAGTTTTTATGCTAAATAGTGGAAAATTACAGTAAAAGTAATAACTAAACTCTAAACAGGCAGAACTGTGTCAGCTTCTCTACCAAAAGAGTTACACCTTTTAACTTAAGTTTTAAGGAGCAATATGATTTTAGGTCAGACTGACCCCCCCTTCCTCCCAAACCATATCTTGCCATATCTAATACCCTTAAGCTTTTTCTCTTCATTCTTACAAACACTCTGAAGATGGGGAAGATGACTTTTTTAAACTATTCCAATTATAATAATAAAGAAGTGACACTAAGTAATTTTACCTCATGTGATAGTTTTAATTGCACTTGAGATATTTATAATCATGTTTTAGTACATTTCTGAGAAAATATTATCTTAAAATCAGGATAATGCAAAAAAAAAAAAAAAAAGTCAAGAAATTAATTGTCAATATTGCACCAACTGGAAACACAGATTTTACTGCTTGAAGAATATACCAAAAAATATACATTAGATTAAATTAAATAAGGGTAACGGTAACCTGTGCCATTATAGTCCCAGCAAAAACCAAAAAACAAGTGGTATCCAAAAGGTAATAAACATTTGCTTTTTACTTTTTTTTTACCAACTTAATAAATTGTGCTCTTTTTTGTGCTAGGTGCCAAGATAAGTGGAGTGATCCCTGGGTTTAATACGACTGTGTTACTCAGCCTGCCTCGGTCCAAGCTGTTGATTGTAGTTGAAAGCGTCCTCATGTCCTTTGCCTTTTTGGCTATGATCATGGTAAAAAAAACAAACAACACTACTCTCTTTGATCTGGCTCCAGTTCTACTGTAGTTTGATTTTCTTGGTTTACAGTACTTAATGTATAGGGCTGTGATCGACTAAAGATATTCTTGATTGACTAAAGCCATGTTCTGCTGATTAGTTGATTTTATATGCAGTATCTCTTATGTATCTGGATCAAACTGCACTCACAAGATTATAATCACACTGGAGTTAAAGCAAAACAACTATATACGCACAAAACAATATAAAAACAGAGTAAAACGATGAACAATGAGTTTAAGTTTCACTCTCAGTGTCTGCAAATGAATCTCTGAGCAAGACCTTAACTGAAATTGCATGCTACTAATCCAAATGCATTAACTTTGTCTATGTTTTTGTGTGTAGTTCCTGGTTTTGTGTGGTCCAGCCTATCGTCCAACAGAAGAGATTGACCTCCGCAGCATCGGGTGGGGAAACATCTTCCAGCTCCCATTCAAGCACCACCGGGATTATCGCCTGAGACTCCTCTGTCCTTTCTTCATCTACAGCGGTTTCGAAATAGTATTTGCTGTGTCTGGATTCTCACTGGTACACTGCTTTTATCAGTATTCCAGTCAAACATAGCATGATATGACCCCATACTTATGATCATTGAATAGACTGTATTATGTCCATCCATGGGTTTCAGAATGATAAAAAATTTGCACCATTGCCAAAGCAACTAACAGTTTAAATATACATTATCTCTTTAATGGAAAATCCTCAATGTTGCACATAGTCCATAAATGGCCCAATACTAAAATAAATTATTAATTGACTATTATCTGTCTACAATTTGAGCTACAGCATCTCATTTTTTTGCATAAATAGCCCCTTTGTTGGTCTAGGATTTCACTCAATCAAGTATAGTTTTGACCTGGCTGGCTCATCATTACAAATCAAACTACTTAATTAAAGTTACCAATTTTTTCTTCTAACAAGTTATAAAAATGCTCTGTTGCTTCGTAATAGATTCTTTATTTCTTATGTTTGGGAGAAATTAGTTGATTTTGATTATGCTGATTTTGTTGATAAACGAAGGATCAAACGATCACCTAATCTTTAAATGCTATGTTCAGATAATCAACTTGTTAGGTGATCGAATGCTGATATGTACAATGTATTGAACAAAAATATATTCCAGTTCAATGTATTTTTTATCAGCATTTTCAAACTTATCAATATCAGCTCCAGACCCAGACCCAGAAGTTTCTAACACTAACCTTTATACCTGTTATACCTGATCTATGTAATATGTACCAATGCAATATTTTACTTAAAGCATCCTTTCTCCCTCCAGTCCTATGGTGTCTGTGCATTGGGGCTAAAGCAACTGTGGCTCATCATTGTTGTCTATGGACTTTCTGCATCGGTTTTCTCCTCCCTGTCCTTGTGCCTGCTGCGCCTGCCCCGCTGGGTGTGCCTGATAGGGGGTGCTATTGTCCATGGGGCTCTCATCATTGCTCTCCTGGCGTTTTCCCCGGTCCCAGGAGGGAATCAGTGTGGGACAGTCCAACCTCAAAACAGCCCAGACTACCTTGCACCGATCCTGATCATAGCAATACTGTGGGGTCTCGGGACAGCTCTGAACAAAACTGGAGTTGGGAGTGAGTATAATAATATTTGTCCAACTAGTCAAATTAGCATTTTAAACATATTTGACCTTTTTTTTTTATGGAATCTTAATTCTGACATCTGAACTTCATTGCATAACAAGATAGGAGATATGAGAGTTTTCTAATATTAAATCTTCATTCAAGTCTATATTATATGTATCTATAATACTTATTATATACACCTTCTTGGGTCCACCACCTTCTTGCCTCCATGAAGACTATTATTATTATTTCTTTTCCACATACATGCCTGAAATTGAATGTAAGATACAAGTTTAATGCCATACTGTGGAACATTCCAGACAAATTACATCTCCACAACCAAGAAAGTGACGGACCTTTCAACAGAAAATGTTCCGTAATGCATCTTTAAAGTATTATGCACATTTTTTTTTTGCCTTTTACTATCTCATAACATTCTTCCCTCATCAAAAACATGTCTGAATAGGTTTTACATGTCATTCATGCATATTTGAGTAATTTAGCAACCTCTCCCAGGCCCTATTCGAGCTCTCCTTACTGTTAGTTGTAAGATTCTGTGCAATAGCCTATGTCATCCATGCTCCCACATGACAATTCTCAATAAATATGCAAAAGCATGATACAAAACTGTACATAGCAACTTTACAAACCTGAGGCGATGTGCAGTAGCTTCATTAGCGGGATGCACGCGGATTGTGTGAAGGTGCAGTTACTATGCACAGGTAGCAAGGGGACCTATTATGTTACTACATTGGTTATGGCAAATATAGCATGTTCAAAACAATAAAAGGTGACATGGTGATCTAGATATGTAACCTCTTTAAGGTTGACCTAGTAAATTTTCAACAGTAAAGAAAAAAAAAAGTATTATTCACAACATAGACAGTAAAGTACATATACACCTCTCATTTTTATTAACTATAAACTATGACAGATGAATCTGAATACTGACACAAACTCTTCTTGTGTTGCAGTTCTGGTCGGCATTCTGTACGCAGAAGAGAAAGAACGTCTTGACTTTGTTTACACCATCTATCACTGGCTTCAGGCTGTGGCCATTTTTGTAGTGTACTTGTGGTCTGAAATGCCTATGAGGGTGTGTATCTTCACTGCAGCAAATGTGAAAAAACTAAAATAAAAAACATTGTCTAATATTTCTCACTTTCACCTCCCTCAGGCCAAACTGTCTATCCTTTTGGCAACGTTATTGTTGGCCTGTTATTGTTACTGGGTGATGGAGAGAAGGCTGGTCAGAAGAGTGCCCTACAGATTGCCTCGAATTCCCCGTCCAAAACACAAGGTACAAGACAGTAATGTGTGAAGTGGTTTTGTGACTTGATTATAGCAAGTAGTTCAGCTACCAATGACCCTTAAAACAGTTATGAAAAAGGATATGATGTGAAATTTGGATGTATAGGTTGGGGTTTAAAATGGTGCCTGATTTTTATAGTCTTAAAAATGTAAAACAGAATTTGTTCATTTTAAACCATAAGTTATTTCTCACTTACCATATGCATAATATTATATGTAATAATACAGTGTTATTATTTTTTTTTTTTTTCTTGGCAAAAATCTAAACGGGTACCTGGAGGCAATGAAAATAAATGATCACACTTTCTAGACATAAAATACATTGTTTATTATTTGGACCAATATGAAAGTACTAAAAAAGTTCTCTTTCCGTTGAGATTTGCCTCACATCTTTTTTTCCGTAAATGTTTTTTTTAGTAATGAATAAAATAATAATATATATATATATATATATATATATATATATATATATATATATATATATATATAAAAGAAAAAAAAAGTCATTTATTTTCTCTTAAATCACTTTTGCTCTCAATGTTCTAAATGAATCATTAATTAACACTGAATGATCAGGTAATGCAGCTTTAAATTGAATGTAATGTTCAGTTTAAAGCTGAAAAATATATTAACAGTTTCTAGATACTGTAATTCAGTGTTGTGAAACATACAGATTTTTTTTTTTTTAAATGCATTGGTTACATCCCTTCAGCTGTTGGTCAGTCATACATGTCCCATTTGTACCCACAGGTCAAAGGTTACCGATATCTGGAAGAGGACAACTCCGATGAGTCAGACTCAGAAGACAGCGATGAAGATGATGAAGACTATGACAAAGAAGAAGAGACAGAGGACGAGGAGCATGTGCCCGGGGAGGAGGGCAACCACGGATACGAGGGTGACCATGATTACGAGGGTGATCATGATGGAGGGGCATGCGGACACGACTCACCCAAGGGTCAGAGGCGACACCGGCGAGAGAAAGAGAAAGGGGTGAGGGAGGGGGAGAGGGGGAGGGCTGGTGAAAGGAATGGGGAAAATGTGGAGAAAATATGAACAAAGGATGGTCATAGGGATCTCATGATGTAAAATACTGTTATTCCAATTTCTGAGAGAAATTGATTCACACAGAATCTACATTAAAATTGGAACTAAACTGGAACTAAACCTGGATTAAACTAGTCCAGGACTATCCATAAATCTACATTAGGACTAAACTGGGCTCACATGTGTGAATGCATGCATTGTTAATTCATACAATGAGCAAAACAGCTGTATACATTATAATTCTAAACATTATCCAAACCCCTTCTAAAAAAGTACAGATTCTGGTCATCCAATAACAGGACAATAAGCAGTTGCAAAGTATAGTATAGCATACAGAGTAATACAGAGTATAGCATTTTTTTAGTTTTACATGTTGAAATGCACTTTGTTCATGTATCATCATTCTTACTTACATTCATAAGATAGGCAATTAAGGAAAAACATTTGTTCTCACTATTTACTATTGGCAATAAAAATTACTAATTCAACTTTAGATTTTTCAGACAGCCAAGATTGAATTACATATGTCTTTGATTTGCCTGTTACATAATGCTTTATAAATATGTTGGACACATTACAATATAAAAGTATTTACACTGGCCAGACATGTTTGAGAGAGAGATCTGAAGCTGTTTCAGGTATATATTTTGTCAGCAGCTCTGAAAATCATTGCTCAAAAGAAGTGAAGAATTGATTTTGCTGAAATTGCACTCAGTGTTTTAATGAAGTAATTTAAGTCTTTTAGTAAGTAGTAATTCAAGTTTTTAATGTCTACAGTTGTCTGAGTGCTAAGAAAAATCCTTAGCTGTGTCCATCACAAGCCTTCTTTTGTTTATTTGTATTTGTTATTTTTCAGCTAACTAACTATGCTCATTATCTGACTGGCTGCCATTGATGCTCAGACGATAATGCTCTCTTCACAATTTGGCTGGTTACCTGCTCTACATTGTGATGTTGGTTAAAGGTACCATATGAAACGTTCTGGAAAAGGCACGGCACCTGCATGATTCTATGAAAATAATATGTTAAAACTATACTTTATTTGTGTTCAGTTTAAGCACCTTAGCAGCAACATACAATAATAATAGGCCAACAGTTCATCAGATCCAGTGTCAGTGCAGTTTGAGTTGAGTAACATCCCTCAGGGTAAAAGTGTCCGTCCTCTCTGTCCTGAAGCTGGAGCATCACAGCTGTGTCCCGGGGAAGCCAGGTGAGCTCTTAACCCTAACCCTACTCTGGAAACACAACACAAAGACTATGCAGATCTCTACACTCTGTTGTTTTGGTTGGTGATGAGACAGGCCATTCCCTCGTTTATCCTCTGGAACATCTGCCATATTTGGTGTAGAAAGTCTCTTCCATTGTCGTAAAAAAGTCTGTTGCATTTTAGAGCTAGCTGGTTATCATAACTAGCTCCATACAGGGTTGCCATGGATACAGGAAAAACAAACTGCTCAAATCACACAACCCTGAACGTGTGTCCTTTCAAATGCACAAGCTGCGCATTTCTTAGTTCAAGGCCAAAATCCCAATATGTTAAGTTAAAAATGTACGGGGAAAAAAAAAAAAAAAAAAGACTACTCAATGTGCCAGTGTGCCAAGAGCATCTAACCTTGACCATGGCAACCACGGAAAGGTTTTATGCTATACTGTGGATGTGAAGATTATACTCATAACTAAGGTTTTCAGTGCAATATAAATAAAACCAAAATAAAATGAAAAACAGTACATTATTTTTACTTTTACAATCCAGTCAGCTGAAAACACACTGCTTTAATAGAGAATTAAAATGAGATTTATTAAGGTACTGCATAGCTGAATGAAAGAAAAAGTAATTGTTGTTGAAAGTATTCAATTTGTAAAACCTATATTTTTTATAGATTGGGGTTTGACAATGGTGTGATGTACACTTTGACATTTTTTTTGTAAAGTGCGTTATATTACTGCTATAATTGTCAATTTACTGATGCTTTGTTTTGACCACTGAAGATTTGTGGTACCAAATCACACATTAATTCCACTTATGTTTCTAAAACGTGTCAAAGCTGACTATTTTTGCACTGTGGTGATAGGGGTACTGATTAAAACAGCATGTGTTTTATGATTAAACAATGTGTCACTATCTTACCATTGTGTTTCACTCAAAGTGGTGGGAGGAGGCCTTGTTGTAAACTCACCGACTTTATAAAAAGTAAGTGATGTAATCTAACTGTTACTATGGAAATTTGAAGTAAGAAGAAAGATAATTAGTAGATGTGACATATATTTTACATGTAAGTGCATTGTTTGTATGTGAATTGGTGATGTTCGCTGGTAGTGAGTCTTATGCCAAACACGCTACAAATCATCATTGTTAAACGTTAATGGTGTAACTTTTCTGGTGGAGAGTCCGTCAAATGCTTTTCTCCATAGAGATGCTATTGCTTTGTCTGAAATGTATGGAATGAAACCTTTTTATCACCACAGAGACCAAACCAGGCAAAGTTACTGGTCAGATCTGTGGACATGCAACACAGTAGTAGGTAGAGCAGTTTAATGTCATACTGTGGAACATTCCAGGCAGAGAAATGACATCCATAGAAAGAAGCAGGTGACGGACAACCAACTAAAAATTTTCACAGTGCACCTTTAAAACTACAAATAGGTTGCTTGACATCACATCAATCAAGACAATTTAATAGTTTCAAATTTAGCTGAATGGCAGGTCAGATTTCTATGGCAGAATAAGAATAAATAACTGCCAAAATGCACGTCCACTGGTTCATACTGGGCCTATCCACATGAAAAAATGGAGAGTGTGTTCTCCATCAGCACAAATTATATTTTAATATTTTTTTCACTATTCCAAAATGTGGCAACAATGACAAAAGTGTGATGGTTCTCATTTAAAAAAAGTTTAATATATGTTTGTGGAGCCAATCCATATAATGAGTCAGTTGGTTGTTTCTTTCAAAAAGGGTGAAATATATACATATGTATATATATATATATATATATATATAGAGAGAGAGAGAGAGAGAGAGAGAGAGAGAGAGAGAGAGAGAGAGAGAGAGAGAGAGAGAGAGAGAGAGAGAGAACGCTTAAAGAAACACTTAAAGAAACACTCGCGATGGACTTTTTCAAAATAAAAGCCAGTGAGAAACAGACATTTACAATAAAAATAAATATATAATAAAAACTGCATTAATGGTGTTAAAATAAATAATGACTTAATTAGTTAATGTGAAATTAATGTGAATCCAGTCACCATCACAGTGGCAGACATCCAGGAAAGAGTCTCAGGTATGAAACACTGGACCGCACCAGGCCCTGACATGCATAATGGCTAAAGAAATTCACTGCTCTCCACGAACGCCTGGCAGCACAAATGAACAAGCTGCTAAAGGATGGGACACACCCTGAATGGTTAACCCAAGGGGACATGATCCTGATCCTGAAGGATCCCTCAAAGGGTGCAGTCCCATCCAACTATCGGCCAATAACCTGTCTCTCCACAACATGGAAGCTCATGTCAGGCATTATCGTGGCTAAGATAAGCAGGCACATGGATCAATACATGAGCGCAGCACAGAAGGACATCGCAAAAACACCAGGGGAGCCAAACACCAACTCCTGGTTGACTGAAGACTGCAGAACCCGTAAGACCAACCTGTGCACTGCCTGGATTGGTTACAAGAAAGCCTACGACTCAATGTCACACACATGGATCACTGAGTGCTTGAAGCTGTACAATATCAACAGGACTCTAAGGGCGTTCATTGAAAACTTGATGCGGTTGTGGAAAACCACCCTTGAAGCCAAGGGGAACCCACTTGCACACGTGTCCATCAAATGTGGCATATACCAAGGAGACTCACTGTCCTCACTGCTGTTCTGCATAGGCCTGAACCCTCTCAGCCAAATAATCGACCGCACTGGCTACAGATACCGACTCAGGAAGGGGGCCACCATCAGTCACCTCCTCTACATGGATGACATCAAGCTGTACGCTAAGAGTGAGCGAGACATTGACTCACTGATCCACACCACAAGGATCTACAGCACAGACATTGGAATGTCATTCGGGCTTGAGAAATGTAGCAGGATGGTGACAAAGAGAGGGAAGGTAGTCCACACAGAGGGAACAATAGCAGACATTGAGGACAGTTACAAGTACCTTGGTATCCCACAAGCAAATGGCAACCTTGAAGAGGTAACAAGGAAAGTGGCTACAGCCAAATACCTGAAAGAGTGAGGCAAGTCCTTAGAAGCCAGCTCAATGGCTAAAACAAGGCGCAGGCAATCAACAGCTATGCCCTGCCAGTGATCAGATACCCTGCAGGAATTGTAAGCTGGCCAAAGGAGGAGATACAGACCACAGATGTTAAGACACGAAAGCTCCTGACCATGCATGGAGGGTTCCATCCCAAATCCAGCACCCTGAGACTGTACGCAGGCCGGAAGGAAGGAGGCCGAGGACTAGTGAGTGTGGGAACCACTGTCCAGGATGAACCATCGTAGCTCCTTGAGTACATCAAGGACAAGGCCCCGACAGATGAGGTGCTCAAAGAATGTCTCAGACAGTGGGGTCCAGAGGAAGAGGTGCTGGAGGGACCATCATGGCAGGACAAACCCCTACATGGGGCGTACCACCGGAACATAACTGAAGTGGCTGATATCAAGAAATCCTACCAATGGCTTGAGAGGGCTGGTCTGAAGGACAGCACAGAGGCACTGATCCTGGCTGCTCAGGAGCAGGCCCTGGGCACTCGAGCAATAGAGGCCCAGATCTACCACACCAGACAAGACCCACGGTGTAGACTGTGCAAAGAGGCTCCTGAGACAGTCCAGCACATAACTGCAGGGTGTAAGATGCTGGCAGGGAAAGCATACATGGAGCGACATAACCAAGTGGCGGGCATAGTGTACAGAAACATCTGTGCAGAGTACGGGCTGGAAACCCCAGGATCAAGGTGGGAAACACCTCCAAAGGTTGTGGAGAATGACTGAGCCAAGATCCTGTGGGACTTCCAGATACAGACTGACAGGATGGTGAAGGCGAACCAACCAGACATAGTGGTGGTGGATAAGAAACAGAGCAGAGCCGTGGTGGTGGACATCACAATACCAAGCGATGGTAATATCAGGAAAAAGGAACATGAGAAACTAGAAAAATACCAAGGGCTCAAGGAGGAGCTGGAGAGAGCCTGGAAAGAGAAGGCATCAATGGTGCCTGTGGTGATCGGAGGCTGTAACCCCCAAACTGGAAGAATGGCTACAGCAGGTGCCGGGAAAAACAACGGACATCTCAGTCCAGAAAAGTGCCATACTAGGAACAGCAATATATCCTCCCCTCTATATGATGTCAGAAATGCAGCCTAAGCCTAAAACCTGTGTTATGGAGGAATATCATTGAATAACATGTTAATTACTATCTGATCTATGGTACTGCTTTTAGTGGTTAATACTTCTTATATACTTGTTTTAGTGGTTAATACTTGTTACTTGTTGTTATAAATTATTATTTACTGGGATATTAACATTTCAACACACTTTTTGACCTATTCTCACAATTTTGAATTCAGTGCATTCATTAAATCAGTCTGCACATCCATATAAATAAACCTCTTATCATAATCAGGCTTTATACTAAATAGAAATACATGCACAAGATCAGTAACTTAAAAGTGACCTCCAAATGTATTATCTTGATGCTTTGTACCCTTTTGAAGTTATCAGTTGTTTTTTTCAATCCCTCCCTAAATATTGACTAACTGATTACGCAGATGAACCAACACTGTCTTACCACTTTTACAAATAACTCCAAACATTATACAACATTTTTGTCATGATTCTCAGTTTAATTCACTTCTAGAACAAAATGAGCATTGATAGAAAATGAGCTGACAGGTGGAGGTAGCTGCTCTTCTGGGATACCGGTTTGGACTAGTTTGACCCCCTATCTGAATGAAGGGGCCGTATTCAGGCCCCTCTCAGTGGCGAATACGTCTGATGGACTGGATTTTGGGGGTCTGGCAATGGGACCCCCAGTTCCTCCAGTGCTGGTAGTCTCCACTGTGCTTCTCACACTCCATGATGTACTGCTGCCCCCTGTAGCCCGGGTACTCGTAGCACACAAAGCTAAACAAGATGGAAATAAAAAAGTAGATTTAAGAACACTATTAAAGGTGCACTATGTAACTTTTCTTGTGGGAGTTTTGTTATCTGTTTATTTGGATAAAGCTATTATTGCCTGGAATCTTCCCTAAAATGGTGTTAAATTTATGTATTTTTTCTTAAATTATAGGTGTTTTTATTGCTAAAGAAAACATGTCCCTTACTTGCCAAAAATGCATATAAATTAAAATTTTGCCAATCAACACATTTTCCAAAATATTTATCCTACTTATGTAAACCATGTATTTTGTTGGGCTATATTTGATGCTGTTCAAGCAAAGAAGCCAAAATGACCATAACTTAAAAGTCACAAAATAGGCTATATACAAAACATATTAAGCACTAACTTAATGGTGATTGGTAAAACACTTTGAGTAAGTACTAGGTATATTATCTAATCATTATCTGATTTTGCAATACAGTCAGATTGAAAATATTACATAATACATTCAACATTTAGATTTTTGAGTGCAGACTACGGTTGAAAATGGAAAAGTGTTGCATTGATCAAGTGACTGAATTGTGCTCCCAGGATTGTTCAATATCTAGTGGGCTTAGTTCAACTATTTAATCAGTTACCCATAAACATTTTAAGTAAACAGACAACAGTTAAAACTATCTTTTGCTGTTGCTATCCATTGCTGAAGATGAATGCTATACCACAAAAGTTTTTTGTTTGATAGAGACAGTTTGATTATACATTTGTAAGTAAAATGTGTATTTTATCTTGTTTGGGGTATATCTATATTTCTAAGTGTTATTATTTTTGAGGAACTTGAATGTACCTCAAAGTCACACCAGTAATACCAGAGCTAGAAAAAAAAGTGATTTAATGGCCTTTGGTGTCACTTTTGGCATAGTATTCTACATAATTATGTCAAGACATCAGTGAATTGGACAAAGTGTGTCAGATGAGGCCAGTTAAGTTCAGTTTTTTTTTTATTATGCTATGCTGTACTATAATTTTGATCAACTGAAGATCAGTTTCTGATAATGACAAAGTAATCGAAAGAAAATGCAGAGTACAGAATTATATTTTTGCCACCCATTTTATGTTATAAAGTTTACAACTAGAGGTGGGTGATTTTCAGACAACATTTTAACATTGCATTATGTGTTAAAATGTGCCTTGTGTCTTAGCTTAGGTTCAATTCTAGCACAGCATGAATGGACCCCTACAATTAACCATAGAAGTGTACAAATAACACTTTATGCCCTTGTTCAAGAGATTATAATAGATGATCTTGTCTCTTTTTGGGTCAAAATAATTACATTGATTAAAATGAGGAGATGCTGAATGTCAGTACTTACGCTCCACACTGCACATGCATGGATCCAACCTCAGGCCTGAACCAGCCCATGGCCTGCAGGGAGGGGTAATCATCGCACAGCTCGGTACAGCGCCCCATAAAGTTCTCCCTCTCATAGATCATCATACGGCTGCTATGGTGAGACTGTGGAGGAGGAGAAAAAGGAGGTGGGATTGTGTCAAAATTTGTGCCAAATATGTCAGACAGATGCACTGAATGATTTGTCCCGGGCTATTTTTACCCTTTCTGACACTCAAAATATGGAGAACTTGTTTTGGAAGCCATTTTGTGCCCCTTCCCAGATTTTTTGACACCCACAGAACCAGAGATGAAGAGAAAAGCTAATTTAGGATACCAGCCTTTATGTAAAAAACTGAATATAGACTAGATTAATATAGACACATTAAATTGTATGTACACTGTATGTACATGTGAACCCTTTTGAAATAGAAAGGCACTACCCTGTGTGATTAGGAATTCTCCACCAGAAAAAGTATTAAGAGTATGGAAAAAAAAAAACTACTACTACTACTACTACTACTACTACTGCTACTACTACTGCTTTACAATTAATTAATAATTCACTCTACACTCAATAGTGGTTAGCTACATTGTCTATTATATATTTAAAAAAATAGTACAATTACTAATTATTTATTATTTTCTCTAGTAAATGTAACTCACTCACTTTAGCCATTTTGTACTCACAGCGCAGTAGATGGGGCGGAAAGACTTGAACCACTCGGTATGGTAGGACAGGTTGCCAGTGTAGGACTCCCAGTTGGGGTACTCTCCACGCTCCAGGATGAACTGCTGTCCCTCAAAGTGATGGTGCTCGTAACCAACCCAACTGAAAGATACAGTATATGACACAATCTCTAGTCCATACATGAACCAGTGGAGACGAGATGGGTGAGAGCGAGCTTGTCTCTAGTCTACAGCACACCAACCACAAGCAATATTACAATCAATTATCACTTCTGAACAAAACCTTTTGGCTGCGATCAGTAACCAGAACCAGTATTGTGTCCCAGGCAATTTGGATGTTAATCTCACATTATTATTTAACAATTTACAAAACACTTCTGATGTGTTGAAATCTTTAGAAGCAAAAATAACATTTGGATTGGCTAACTAACTGTGGTGAAGAGGGAACAGAGGCTGCCCCAGCTTTAGCCTATGTCTCTATTTTGTAACTTTTTTCTAACTTTATCCATCCATTTGAAAAGCACATTCGAGTAATTTAAATCTTGAAAGCTGACTGCCTGACAGTATTAACCGGTTTTCACTCAGGTCTAAGTCACTCTCGCTTTTTCCTCAGTAAAAATCGAAAACGGTGGCTGGAGGAGCGTAACCCCATCACTGTGCGATACTCGTGGGATGGAGCGGCCTATTCGAGGTGGCTTTTTTAAATCGTGGGAGCCTGGACACTACTTTCTCTGGTCTCATTTACGTCTCGGAGCCAGTCAGCTGTCCACAGAGACGTGCAGGCGTACAGGCCGATGACTCACGCTCCACTCTCCACTCGGATGGAGCGGATGTTGTCGAAGCCGCACTCGTGGATGTTGCAGCACTCTGAGGTGAACTCCATGCACTTGCCCTGGAAGTGCTCCTGCTCGAAGACCGTCACCTGCGCGAGGGGAGAGAAAGAGGGCAGAGGTAAACCGGGAGGCCGAGTGGATGTGTCCTATACATTGATGATGTGTAGAAAACATGTAGCCAATTTACCTTGAAGAAAGGAGCCATCCCCATGCCATAAGAGTACATGGAGGAGTGATTATAGAAGTTTTTATGAAATCTGTTCATCTGTAATCGAAAAAATAGGTTTTAATATAGCGTAATATTAGATTAGGCCTTTGTAGTCTTCTGATTTTCCTTTTTGACATAACCAACTGTAATCTACTGTTAAAGATATACCAAAAGGCCATTTACTCTTTTCCTTACCGCTGTGATGTTCACGGATCTCCTCACGCACCAAAATCCCGTTAGCGTAAACTTTTATGTGAACCTGGCTCTTTGGTTTTATACTCACGTCCACGCGGCTGGCACGTGCCTGCGCGCGCGTGCTTGTGCAGCCCCTTTATGCAAACGATGTTATCCCCCTGTAAAGAGTTTGACTGAGACAAATGCCTCACTTTGACTGAGTCAAACTGAGGCATTTACTAAGTTATTCACTGTTCTCAAAATGTGAAAATGTGACACGTCCAGGACAGTACTTTTATGCATGAACCAAACAGCTCTTCACTGCTTCTAATACCGTAATGACTGTTAGACAGTACTGACATATTTCATTTTAAATAACCAATTATACACCACACAGCCATACATTCAGACGGGTTCGGTTTATTAGCTTAATTCTATTTAACTTTTCAACTTGTTTGGAGCTTTACGCAGGTCATTGGTTACGTGCGCGTGAACTTGAATCCTTCAATATGCGCGTGCGCGTGGGAAAACCATGTAGGCGCGCGCCCGTGCCCCTCTAGAGGCCCTAAACCTCACTCAGCCTGTTTTTTTTCAGTGTCTTTGTTGTAGCCCAGTGTGGCTCGTCGACTCAGCACTTAACGTAGAGGTGCGCTGAATGCCTCCTGTTGTTGCGCTCTTCTATGGGTCAGCAGTGCCATCGTACAGCGCAACAAAAGCCCGGGCTATAGGCACAGAATGAGTGGATTTGTTAAAGCAAGTGATGGACCTGCTTCAAATGGAAGAGGAAATTTTTAAATCAGTGGTGATGTTAATTTGTTCATGTTTCTCCAGGCTAAACCCATTAATGTTTCTGGCCCTAGAAAGTTTTTTTCCGGAAACATGTTGCTTATTATTTCTGCCCATAGTATACTGTCTCAAACAATTTTGTATTCTGAGTTACAAAATATTCTAATATTTGCTTCTAGACCTGTCTTAATATTGCATTTACATAATTTACAATTGAGTCAACTGCAGACGCCTAAATTATTCATAAATGGGACCCTCCAAAAGTGTGTAAAGTGAATTTATTAAAGGGAACATGTAGTGTGGGCCCAGAATATTCTGCACCACGATTAGCAGGGAGCAAAGCAGCATCCAGGAAGTGGGCAGGTGTGCTTTATTTGTTCATTCGACAATTACTGGAAATCAAAGAATTTTCTTATGAGCCCCTTGGTGTGAAAAGGTCATGAACTAAACAAAACTACACAGTTATGTTGTTGATTATTTCTTCTGTCAGTGTCACATTTCTGTAGCAACCCCTGTGCCCTTGTCTCTATAGAGTTTTGCACTGCTGCACCTTTTCTGGGGCACAATGGACTTTGGTTCCCATGGCAACATCAACTTTGCGTCATCAGATGGTCCTCATCCTTGACATTTCATTATATGAGTAAGACCTGAACATATAGGATATGAGTGTTGTATATCAGCTACCCTACACACAATATTCTGCAAGGAAATTGGAAAAGTCTATGCATATGCAAGTATTAACCCCAACCCCATTCTCTTTACAACAATAGGAAAAATAAACATAGATGGCCAAATGTGACTAACTTGATACTATGGGTTACTAACAAATACTTTTCTTTACATTTATACATTAACTGGATGGTATTTGGACTGTTTTTAAGTTCATTGTCTAGGGAGTTCCACAGTGTCACACCAGCATATGAAATACACATTTGTTTAAGTGTAGCTCTGGCACAAATTTAAAAGTCAAATTTCCTTTTGCTACTTGCAGTATACACAGTAAAATATTTAGCAGAACACATGATAACAAATAATATTACGCTTTGTGTTAATATTGTGTGTAAAACAATCTTTTAATTTTAACAGACCTGACCTGATCAAAAATAGTCTGCTCTTTTGGAGGATTCCTGTGAGAGATTCTCAACACTCTTTTCTGTAAAACAACTGAGGGTTATTAAATGTTAATGAGCAGTACTCTCGTTGCATTATAATGAAACAAATATTTCACTTTGCTCAAGAAATTTTGAGACTTTCAATATTATAGTTCCATTAAAGATTAATTTACTGTGTTTCATAATTAGTCTTTCTTTAATACTTATAAGTCTCAGCACTTCTCAACGTTCCTCAAAAAGATTGTCCCTCAACTGGCCTTCTTAGTTATCAATATGACGCAAACACGGGGCTATTTAAACCTCCCTCTGTGGAAGCTCATGCAGACCTGAATAAGCGGTACCACAATGAGTATTCATGTCTGTTGGTCCTGTACTTAACCCCATTTCCATAAGTATATGGGAAATGGGACATGTTTTTTTTTTTTTTTTGCTCATAGGTATAAATAATAAATATCTATTCATTATTATAGAAATGGTTAGGTTCAAGAATATACTAGTAAACGAGCAGTGCCATTTAACAGTGAATAGGTGACTTTTTTGTTGGAGGTTCTTCTTGGGGGGTTAATACTTATCCTTATTATCCTTATAATGCTTATTATCTACCTAACACTGATCAGTCTCTCAGTTAAAATCATATTGACTACTATTGAGAGCCTGTTTTTGTGCAACATGATACGATATATTAAGAGAACAAATTAAACATAAACACATAGACAAGTCAGCTGCCTCCTCCCACTGATTCGATCTGTTTGGACTGAATGAGATCTCTCTGTGAGTGGAGCTGCGTAATCTAGCACTGGTCAGACGTCAGTGCACAGACATTAAACCACTCATCAAAGAGAAAGTTTTATGACCAAGAGATGTAACTTCAGCTGGAACGTGTTTGTTTTTCAGAGATTTTAGCCCCAGTTTGATCCTCACAAGGCACTGCGAATGTCTGGTTTTGTAGAGAATGCAAAGATATGACTTTTACAGTTGTGTAATTAAGGCTATGGCTTCTATCAAGAGACATTTAAAGGTGCAGTATGTAAATGCAGAATCCTAGATCCACATTGTTTTCCAAATTAATACATTATTATTAACCAAATTTTTTTTCTGAAAAGAACAATTTGAGTAATTTTACAGATACAAACATGTGATACCTTAGCATTTTTTTGTAGAGCGATAACATTCTTTCTCCAAAAATAAAGCAATTAAGTAAAACTGGGCCTATTTACTGCAATGGTCCCATGTTAATTTCAGCATAAAATTACCATATGTACAAACTGAGAGCCCCCCAACCCAACATTTCCTGAATGGATGAGTCAGAGGTTTTAAAATTAAGTACTTTACAGATAGATACGACTGCCCTGGTGAATATTTATGGGAGCTCCGGGTTATGCTGTTTTTTCAGATGTTTTATTAATAACTTTTCTTAGGGGGTTTGCACTTCTGCACACTCATACAGTTGGCTTTGACATTTATACACTACGAAGTATTAAAATAACACTGAATAATACAAAATTCAAAAGAAATGCTACTATATTTGAATATTATTTGAAAAAGCAGAGGTGCGTAAACGAAATGATCAAATTCTGCTTGACCTGTGTTGTTATTGCTTGAAACAATATTGCTCAACCTCCAATGGGCTGACATAAAAGCTGCTGAAAACCTTTGAAAAGTAGCAATTAAGATGCTGACTCTGTCCAAAGGAACACAGTAGGCCTGTGATGTTTTATTTTTACTTTGATGAATGAATAAATAAAAGCATTCAAACCACAACAAGGTAGTCCCTATTAAGTCCTAATGTAAACAACTCCTGATTCTTAAATGCTTCACACCAAATACATCCTCATAAATAAATAAATAGGGATAAACAATAAATAATTGCTATTGTTTAAATATTGTGATTGTGATTAGAGTGTACATTGTAAACAACTCCAGGAGAACTACATTTCAGAGACTAAAATATGAACTGATAAACTGCATTTCAAAGCAAAAATTTTTAAATGCTGAAGTCTAAAACAACAAGACTTTCCATAAGAAGTAAATGTTTTAATATCTAAATAATAAAGCTTTATTAATTGCACCAATTGCGCCAATGGGGACATTTCAAGAAAGTATATCATCAATAGTGTTAGTAGTAGTAGTAGTAGTAGTAGTTGTATTTGTCACATATTGTAGGGACCACTGACATAAGCTTTTTTACTACTGTGAGACTGTATCAGTGAACTGGCACTTCTAAAGTCATAGTTGTCTATATTCATACGGTGATGTGTTAATTATTATATCTTTATATTTGTCACCATGGATAACTTGTTGACTGAAAATGTGTTTGTTTACCATCATTTTGTATGCTTTCCTGCCTGTCAGCCTCACATTGCTCTCTCCCTGGCCTCTCTTGGTGCTGTTAAGAAAACAGGGAGGTGTCTCTGCATAAAAATGAACCAATTTTTTTCTGTATTTTTGGCCCCCAACTGCGTCAGAGCAAAACAGCCTCCAGTCCTCTCAAGAGAGCGCTTAAAATTTCTCATTGACATTTCACAGATGTTCACTTCTACGTAAGAACTAGAGGATTCTAATTATAATGCAAATTAATTGGGATTTATACATGGTTGTTGAGCTCAACACCACCGGCTTGCTAAAAACCTGGATGTCATTTGATATAATGTTTTCGTCTTGTTTTGACATAACTCCTTTGTGGGTATTTTGCAGAGAAAAAGTGCAGTTCATGGTCATCTTTCTTGTAGCTAGGGCCCACCGTAATATTGCACCCACCCACGTATGAAAAATCTGACAGTTTGAATTTAATATGTGTCTCCTTGATGCAGAGAGAGGCGGTTATTGTCCAAGCATTTCACCCGGAGGACAGACTGCCAGGTTATTGCCTCGCACAACTTATTGCTTCACTGCTTATAACTCGTCCCATAGCCTCAACTTCACTGCACAGGAGAGCTGAGTGGACAATGAGCCCGTATTATGTTATGGTGGTAAACATAAAACCAGGAACTGAAAGAGGATTTTAAATACCGATGCATGACATGTATTCCAGGGTTGTGCTGGCATCCTGTCTTCCTAGATTCCTCTTATGGATACATATCTCACATTGTACAAAGATAAGGTACGCTTTATTCTCCCATGGGAAAATTCTGCATTTGATCCATCCTTCAGTGCTGCAGGGACAATCTGTCAGGAGCAGAGGGCAATTCCAAATCTTGAGCTAGATCCCAGGTACCTGGAGAACTTGGAGGATTTTACGTTGTGGATATTTTAGATGGGTGGGAGGAACCAGAGTACCCAGAGGAAACCTACCCAAACACAGGGAGAAACATGCAGACTCTTGCACAGAAAGGCTCCAAGGCGCATAAATGGTGAATTGAGCAGATTGTTCAAGAATACAAACTTGAATAAATGAAGTTTGTAAAGAAAATAAATCAAAATGAAGTAGTTTTACCACTACAAAAAGCAGTGGTTTAATTAATATAATTTTTATACAATTATTGCTGCTTTTCACTACTTAAGGAGAGACACAGGCAAACACTTATTTAATTTTTTATTTCAGTTTGGTCTCTTTGGATACAAGATTCCCTGTGCAAACAACTAAATTGACCACTCAGCAAGGAAAGATAAATATTTTATTTAATCAACTTGCAGCCATAAAGTTATATTGTAACTTCATAGATCATTTTCTCAAAATGCATTTTTTCCCCATAGGGACATAAGAATAACCCCTTAGCACCTACATACATCAAACTCCCCAATCTTGTACTTAAGATTTTGACGAAAGGTACTGAAGGATTTTTAGATTGATGAGGTTTAGTTTACTCAAATACTAGTTACAAGATATCCAAAATATATGACAACTAAATGAAACAAGATTTTTTTTTTACCTGGGCCGATCTGTTTTTGAGATTCATATGTCACAAGAAATGAAAAAAAAAAAAAAAAACCCAAAAAAACAGAAAAACTGTTATTTTTACACATAAAATACCTTATTTTTTATTTCAAAACTTCACATTATGAAAAACATTTTTACAGCACTTATATTATGATCACATTGTTCAAACTGAAATATAAACTACACTTGAGTTGCTTGTTGTTATTGCTGCATTTAATTTTGTATTTAACTCATTTAACTTTTTATTTAATTTCAATTCCCATTGTCATGTTTTGTGTGTTTGCTATCTCATTATGACATAGAGAATTCATATTTTGTGTTCGTTGTGTTTAAAACAATTGTACCAATTGTACCTTGACCAAAAAGTTAGCTCAACAAAAATATTCACATTTTCGGGACTTTTCACCATTCAAAAGGATAATTGTTCATTGCAACAGTAACTTGTTTTCCAAATGTTATCCTTCTTCTTGTAATAGCCCCTTTAGCCTGTTACTAAGGTTATGCCTGTTCCACCTCTGCCCCTGTGTTTGATGATGGGGGTATTTCTTTTCTGTGGAGGCTTGTGAGCTCAGCGAGTTTGTTTCTATGTGGATAATCCCCTGTCCCGGGATGCAGGGGTATAAAAGGGGGACGGGGGGCCCAGGCGAGCTCACTCCATTCACACCGGCCCTGTCGACTCCTGTACGCACACACTGCCACAGGTAAGACTGTCACAAACAACATCATCAATACAATACAACTGGGTCAAACACAGAGAAACACGGACAAAAACATCTATCTTAGAAATATCTACTTTTACATAAATAGAGTAAAAATGCATTATGTAATATAATTATATTTAGGTGTGGAAATGAACTTATTAGATTGTTGTATTGCTTGAAAAAAGTGTCATGGATGTAAAGTAATCTATTTTTAACTGCAAATTTTTGGTCACTCACATTAGGCTTTTCCACATTATGCTTATATATATATATATATATATATATATATATATATATATATATATATATATATATATATATATATATAGGCTAACCAGTGCTTGTGATGGTGTTGCAAACTTGAAATGTAAACTTGTTGTGTTCTTTCTTATAGTCAGAATGTCTGGAGGAGATAAGTCCAAGTCTCAGACCGATGGGAAAACCGGTCAAAACAAGATGTCCGACTTTGGCATGATGTCCTACAAGGTACAATCACATTTAACTTTGTGTATTTATAAATTCAAGTTAAAGTAGTATATGATTGGACAATGGCAGTGTGTAATCCAGGTCATATTATAGATTTGTGGTTTGGACTGTGGCTGTGAGTTTTTCTGATTAGTGCCACTTTAATGTCTCAGTTTGTAATTATGTCAATATAATATATATAATGACTGCTTTTAATATAATGAGATACATGCTATAATGGTAAAAAATACAGCAAAACTATGCTTTTTTTAACACAGCCCTTTAGTCCAAATATAGTTGTCATTTACTGGTTTTGACGGTCACCTAGCACAACCTCACTGCCACTTACAATGACACACAAAAGGACCCATTTATAACACGTGTCTTACACAGTGGCATTTCACCTTCAGAACTAGGGTCTGTTATGACAATGTGTTACTTCAGCTGAGTCTGAGGAGGCAGTGGACATCTGTGTTCTTCTACTGTTAAGAAAACTGTCAGAACACATTCACCTTATTTTACACTGAGACAATTGACTAATGCATATGATCTACAGCTTATGGTTAGACAGAAATAACATTAAGATGACTGACAAGCGAGTAAAACACATTATTTATTGCTTATTGCATAGGAGAGATTCTAAGAAACAAGTGAGCATTTCCTATTCAATGTTAATGTTACAGGAGCAGAGCTGGACAATAGACTTCTTGATTAAAAAGACGGTAGCATATCATTAATGATGAAATGACTGAACGTCAACCTTGATTAAAAACAGATTAATTGCACAGCCCTAGACTGGAGCATGAAATATGAGCTCATACAAGAGTTTGTAAAAGGCCAGATGTTGAGAGCTAAATATGACAGTCAGAGCATCACCTAAACAGCAGTTATATAAATAAAGGTGCACTATTTCACTTTTCTAATACAGGGCCCACCTGCTTGTCTCCACAGATATGTCATTGCTATTGTTATTACTGTACCTCGAATGTTTCACAGTATGGCATTAAACCATTTTTTTTATCTGCATGGACACAAGCTAAGTTAACTCTGATCTGTGCATATAGGTTACTCCACTCACAAATAATTTTTTTTTAGGTACTTTTTCCAACAATAAGAACATGCAATTGAATAAATGCAGCACAGATTCGTTTAAGATCAAACTCTGGAACATTCCCGGCAACTCATTAATATCTTCACCGATAAAGCAGGTAGCGGACGCCCCACCAGAAAAGTTACACAGTGCTCTTTTAGAAAACAAAACTTAACTTTATTTTTAGATTTTGTCAAGTGAATGGATTTGACTTTGCTACTTAAGTGCACTTTAAAATAGCATTTGCACTGTTCCCATAAGATTGGAAAAGTGCAGCTCTATTTAGCTTGAGTGTTCCATCACTTCTTTTAATATTTATCTGTCGGGAGGAGCTAACTACACTGAAACAAACGCACTCTGGATGTTTACAGTAACTTTTGCATAATGTATTTTCTCTTTATTTTTATGTTGCTGTAGATGTGTGTCTATGACCAGGAGAATTTCCAAGGGCGCTGTTTCGAGATCATGAACGAGTGCATGAATGTGTGCGACTTTGGGATGGACAGGGTGCGCTCTCTGAAGGTTTTCTGTGGTCCGTAAGTAGATCTGCCCCCAACAAACTTCTCCACAACTAGAGTTTGTTTCATATTTACCACAAATGCACCAACCACAACTCTCCCATCCCATTCTGCATCATTTGAGATTTTTCTTTGTTGATGTTTTGAAGCCGCTGAACTGCAGCTTCAAAACATCTCTACAAACAACTAAGCAACAAAAGATGTGATTTCACCTAATTGTCTATTCAAGAGGTGGTCAACAAACAACAAGCCCAAAGAGTAATTGCTGATAAGAGTTTTTGTGAAAGAAAGTCTAATTTTAAAAAGAAGTTCTGCCACTTGAGTGATAATATCCACAGTGGGATTAGTTTTGCATTGAGAAGGAGAATGAAAAATATTCCCAAGGGAAGCAACAAAACATTGCTATCTGTAGACACACTATCCATCAAAGTAATGATTTAGTTTGAGATAGAAGTAATAAAAATGTGTTGATATTTTGTAGAGTGGAGTTTGCATTCTAACACAGGGCTCCCTAACCACTGAGCTGAGACTCAAAACCAGGAAGCCACAGAGGAAAATATTAGATTTCTTTTAATCTTTTTCATTTTTTTAAATTTATAATCTACTTCGGATTTCCTATGATGATTTACTGTGTTTTGTTAAGAAAATATAGTAAAATAACATGATAAAGACCAAATATGAGCATTATTATTATGATATAGAACTAGGCTTAGGGGTTGTAACCATTTTCTGCTGTTCAACCTAGCCCCCTTCCACTGGGCCCTGAATGAAATCTAAGGTTTAGTATTGATCCTCATGAGTAAAAAGTAATGGGGACTTATGGTTGCACAATAAAATGTAATCAGATCAACATAGTAATAAACTGCTTATCTACACGCATTTATATTTTTCCAAACCTGTGCAGTCATATGTGGGACCATTGTTCTAAAGCTCCTGTCCTGGGTTGTTGTTTTCAGTTTTGTGGGCTTTGAGCAGATGAACTTCTGTGGAGAAATGTACATTCTGGAGAAGGGAGAGTACCCACGCTGGGACTCCTGGAGTAACTGTCAGAGGAATGAGTACCTGCTGTCCTTCAGGCCTGTCCGCATGGTAATCACACAAGCTTCTGACTGGAGGTGGAAAATATATATATACTGTATAAAAACTAAATAATATATATATAACACAACAGATAATATAACAAGGAGGTATGCAAGATTAGAATATCTATCAATGTAGTATACTATCTGTAGTTACAACTTTTACATATGACCTTTACAAAAAGACACAAATGTCTAGTGTAAACTACAAAAAGTGGGTATAAAGCAGCGCTTTTGTGATTAATTTTAGTGTCCATTCACATTTTGTGTGATATTTAAGCATCAACAGTCATTTAAAAGTGCATTTTACCACATTCATGAGTTATTGTTAAAACGTTGTCTCAATATTGTTATCAAGATAAACATACCGTCTCTCCCCTCCCCTCTCAGGACCCAGAGAAGCACAAGATCTGCTTGTATGAGGTGGGCGAGTACAAGGGCCGCAAGATGGAGATCATGGACGACGACGTGCCCAGTCTGTTCTCCTACGGCTTCACCGACCGCGTGGGCAGTGTCATGGTCAGCTGTGGCACGTAAGGGATAATCTCTCATATTTCTTTAACCTTTCCATTGTGTGTAAAATGTATATATTTAAAGGAGCTCATTCATGTAATTTACTTGATTCTCCAAATATCTCTTTAAATAGAAGAAAAAGAGGTTCTGATCATAAAAAGACGTGGCAAAAAGGCAACTTAACCTAGTGACCTAGACCAAAGGTCTATCTGAATATAGACAAATTACAGCTTTTTTTTTGTTGTTGATAAATATAGTATAAAACCTGGACTATGTTGGTTCAAATAATATATATTCCGTCAGTCTGCCCCAGGGCAGCTGTGGCTACAGTAGTAGCTTACCACCACTGAGTGTGGAGTGACTGAATAATGAACTGTAAAGCGCTTTGGGTATCTTGAAAGGTGCTATATAAATGCTATCAATCAATCAATCAATTAAAATACTAAAGTGATTTAACTTAAAGCAACACCTCATAACTTCCTGGAGGTGGAATGTCACCTACTTGATTCCATTAAAATTGAAAGTGAAAACCAAACTTTTCCATGGAGATAGATGCGTTTTATTCTGTACTGTGGAATTTTATATTGAAGAACAACTTCCAGAGAAACAAGCAGGTTTTTCAGTGCAATAAAAACATTCAAAACAGTCTGTTTTGGGCAAATGATTTACAAGGAAAAAATAACCAAACAAATAAGCAAAATATATACACTAGGAATCTTTTTTTTGGCCCCATTGTTTCTGCTTCAGGCTCCACACAAACACCCGAGTAACATTCAAAGTGTCACTTTCACCGATGGGACATAGCTCCATTTTCACCTTGGTCCTATTCATAGCTCAGACAGTTAAACTTTCTGAATTCTTCACGTCTCCCTCATTTGTTGCCTTAACCGAGTCTCTGTAAAGAGCTGCGTCACAGGGGCCGGCTGTGTGCTTGTGTGCGTCTGTCAGGCTTCAGCAGTGACGTCATCCCGGTCTGCGAGCGACATGAACACAAACTAGCTCTGATTTTCAAAGCGCTAGAGCTAGATTTGGAATAGATACTTTTATCACAGTATCTTCAGAGGTGCCATAGCCGCCAGCTTGCCGGAGGTATGGAGAGCAGGATGCTTCTTAATGTCTTTGATTACTTTATTTGTGCGGCACACACTCACAGCTGGAGATGTGGAGTCCTGTGGTGCTCTGTTTGGTGGAGGCAGAAACATATCGATATTGGGCTATTTGTCACAAAGAGTTGATCCTATTTGAATTTAAAGCACATGTGTTCGGGAGGCACAGATGCCATCTCAGTTTAAATCAATGTTTTGATCACAGTCGGATAGTTAGCAAACTCCAACGTGGGCAGTGGTGTGATGTACAGATATAATATGAGTGGTTTGAACCAGGGCTTAACCATCAGCAAGTTTTCCTTTAAATCTGTTTAAACACTGTCTACAGAAACACATGAGATAATAGCAAATTGATCAAGAGCACAGAGTTACGGGCTGAATGATCAGAGATGTGCTTTTAGTTCACTATTTATTATAACTGCACCTTGGTTGGCTTTAATAAATCATAAAGAAAGACTTATTAATGGTAATAGATAGTTGATTAACAAATTTTAAGACTTAGTGACTACTTTTTTCCAGTCCATTGGAAATGTCAACATTATTTGGTCAATTGATAATTATGATTATTCAGACCACAATGTAGCCATAGGACTAAAAAATACTCAACATTTTTACAGTTACAGAAGCAATAATAAGTCCTGTCAATTTGATCTAAAGAACAGTACTAAATGTAAAGTGTCTTTTTATTTGTTAGTAACTTCATTTACTATATCATTCAGAAAGTTTGATTTCATAAAGCTATTCACGTACTAGAGGTAATAACAGACACTAGAATTTGAGACAGAAAATTAAAGCTTTGAACTGTTTTGGGTTATGTTATCAATGGTTGTGCCTAATTGTTAAACCGTGTTTCTATTCACTATTTAATATCAAGACAATCCAAATTCATACCACTCTGATGTGTTTGTCCCGCAGCTGGGTGGGGTATCAGTTCCCTGGTTACCGTGGCAGCCAGTACCTGTTTGAGAAGGGCGAATACAGACACTTCAATGAGTTTGGCGCCCGCTGCCCTCAGATGCAGTCCATCAGGAGGATCAGAGACATGCAGTGGCACCCACATGGCTGCTACACCATGGCTGCTAACAACTGAGACCTACAGGGGGCGACGTAGAGAGGGGCAGGGGGTGGGCATAGGGACAAGGGGAGGGTGAAGAAGAAGAAGAAGAAGAGGATGAGGTGAACAGATGTATTATATCACACATGAATCTTATCCACTGTCTGTTTTCAATTAAAGATGTTTATTCTATCCTTTGATTTTGACTTTTTCTAATGGGATCAACTGATGTAATAACATAGTGTTTATTTAGTTTTATACCAGATGCCCTTCCTGGTACTACCATCATTTTAGTGTAATTCATTGTGGGTGTTTAAACTTTACATAAACAGGCTCTTTGGTATTTAGTATTAAACTATAAATGTGTAGTTCATAATTATACATTTTGTTAATTGTAAACCACAATATTGATCTAAAACAGTTTAGTATCAAAAGTAAGCATATTAATATCACACTGGGGGTGTTTTATTTGTTGAAAAAAATAGCTTAGTGACATACCAACATATGAACTTGAGTCTGAACTTTTTTGGAATAAACACAAATAAGTATGGATCAGTGGGTGGGGATGGGAGGATTAATCAAACTTTAATCAAAATACAACTCAGCAAGCTTATAAGAGTTGATTTACTTATTATGCCATTTCATTTTTATTTAGTTTTAAAATAAATGCCCTTCCACATACCATTAACATTTCACTGTGGTCCCTTTATATTTAATAATTCCATAAACCAAAAAACTGCTCCAAACCGCCCTTCCACTGAGCATTTTTTGCCTTGGGATTGTTAGTAATATTTGCATTTGGAGGGTGCACTGACGTCCCCTTATGGCACTTTGGGGCTAATCTGAGAGCATCATTACTGAGGAGAGGCTAACCAAACCAAGAATTTGAAAGTCAAGAGCAGGTTTTTGCCCAATAGAGACCAGCTCTACCCTCTTCAGTTTACCCTCTTATGTCCCTCCCTCAATCATTCCACCAGCGTCAGAGCTCAAACACCAGGGGCTTACTACATTGGATTTGAGTCTGTTTGTTGAGACATGACAGAAAACAGAAAATAAACTTGAATCTTAAATCCTAACAAAACATTTTATCTTGTGCCTAAAATGAAACTCCTTCAATTTGTTTGTCTGAGAAATGTCCTAAAATGAACCGTACACAGAGTTGCAGCCTGAAACTAAGACTGTCTGTGTATTTCTTTTTGGTTGTATGTTTGTGAATAGAAAATATATCTTGTTTTGAATAGTTATAATTTGTAAATGATATGCCAGTGAGCAGATAGTTTATTAAAGAGGGGGTATTTTACTTCTACAGTGTATTAAGTGGAAATGCTTAACATATATAGATCACCATGTTACCTTTTACTGATGTTAAGTCTCCCCTCTCTTTTCTCCTGCGTTAAGTCACTCCCCTTCGGAGCACTATCACAACACAATTAGTGTGCATCCCGCTAATGAAATTACTGCACATCGCATCAGGTTTGTCAAGTTGCTGTGTACAATTATTGTATATTTAGAGAACTGTCGTATTAGAGCATGGCTCTAGGCTTGTTGATTGACTGAGCATTGCACAGAATCTGAACAGAAAGTAAAATGATAGATATACTCATCAAATTGCCTGAATTAAACAACCTTATTCAGATATTCAGAATAATATATCAAAATTAACACATTTTACCTGATGAAGACAGCCTTTCTTTTTGCAGTATGAAAGTTTTCAAACATTTTTCATTTTCTTCTATGATTGAGCCTTTTTCAAATATTAAACTCACCTGTCAGACCTAGAGCTTTGATCAGTTTAAGAAAAAGGTGCCTTTGCCTTTCAAAGCTCCATCGTCACACTGATGTAATGTGAAGACATTTAGGTTGGATAAGTAACACACTCTACTTAGCTATCAAAAGAGATGAAATATTAACAACAGCAAATTGTGTACTCCTTTTTATACTAAATGGTTGTATGTAATGCATTGTAATGCATTGTAGTAAAATACTGAGGTAATAGTATATTTTGACTGATCTAGTACATTTTCTTGTGTTTGATTGAAAAACATTTATGTGCTTTCCACCTTAATTAAACTCAAACATTTGAAACTATATATTTACCTTAAAGGCGCACTATGTAACTTTTCTGGAGGAGAGTCCACCGCCTGTTTCCTGTTTTCATGGAGCTGTTTGCTGTCATGGAGACAAGCAGTTGACACTATATAGGTTATAGTTCATATATGTCAAGAGGAGAGCCTGCTCACAGTAGGAACGTGCAATAGTATGTTTTTTGCTACATAAACATGTGCAATATTGGTAAGTTTAATGCCATAGTGCGGAATATTCCAAACCAATGCCATCGCAATGGAAAAAAGCAGATGGCAGCACCCACTAGAAAAGTTAGTCCACCTTTAAAATACAATATTACTGAGATACTTACTGAAAAATATGACTTGTTGAGTACTTTTCGATTGCTCCTTGCACACATCCCTTACAGTTACCTTAGTTCACTCACTTAGACCTCCAACAAACTTTCACAAATACTACATTAACACTAGATTGTTGAATTTGGGCGTATGGTATTTTGACTAATCAGATGTGCCTTCCCAACTGAGCAGTTTCATTTGGTTGTTCTATTTGTAAATTCTCTGTGAAGGCCAAAATAACACATAACAATTCTGTTTTTTGTGTTGCCAGATTGCATTTAAAACACTCATTTGGACTTGGGTCTCACTTTAGTGTTGTTAATGAGAGACAGTGTTGGAGCTGGTGAAATTTGGCATTAACAGATTCGATTTTGTGGCGTCTGTAACACAGTGAGAGTGTGAGGGCTGAGGCACTGACAAGGGACATTATGTCTAGAGCGATCTGTGATTTTTCATACATTATTTATAATTCCCGCTGCGAGGATGAGGAGAGTGGTGGTGCAATAACGTCACTACGAAATGGACTTGACCACAGTCTGGCATCACACTTTCTCTCAACTCCAGAGTGTTACACAGAATGCACTTCAAATATAACTTCATTCTTCAAAGGTGTGTCATGTGGTTATTTTAGTTGACGTCAGGGCCCCAACTGTGACGTACAAAACATACCTAATTTATATTTTGTCTGGAGGTTAAATTATAGTATGGATGTGAATATCTTATTCATTTTATTTTATTCATGAGAGTAATTGCAAATGCTTTTTTAAGGGTCATTGCCATTTCATTTTTCAGTCTGTTTTTCTGCCATTCCAATCATCAGCCTGCCCAAGGATGAAGATGGTGCAAATACAATTTAACAAATCTCCCAAAAGCAAAAAAACAGTGTCATTTTACTCTTATACAATTGCATCTGCAAGTAGCATCATTTTAACAAGACAAAGGGTGTAATATATATATATATATATATATATATATATATATATATATATATATATATATATATATATATATATATATATATATATATATATATATATATATATATATATATATATATATATATATATATATATATATATATATATATATATACATTTTTTCATGTCCGTGGAGAAAAGCATGCGGCAGATCCTTCAACAGAAAAGTTACTGTAGACGATTTAAAGGTTAATCTATATTGTACTCTTTGCTTGTTTCTAAAACATACTTAAAACTCTGATGTAATGCAAGACAATGTGAAATGTACATTGCTTGCTTTTTATATCCACAAAGCTCGTGTAATGAGACTCTGTAGGTAAAAATGAGATGTCAGATGTAAGTAGGTTAGATTTGCAGTATCCAGTATATGTGAATGAGGTGAATATAAATATGAATGGACCAGAGACTCTTCACACATTTCTTTTAATACGATACAAAAGAGTTGAGAAGTATTCCACGTGTCAGTAGAAAGATTAAAGGATTTAAGTATCTTTGGGCAGCAAGAAAAGATCAAGTGGTGTGGTATTATCAATTCATCAAAGACAATTTATGCCAAGAGCTGTTGTGTTTGGTTAAAATTTCAGAGTAACAAACAAACAAACAAACAAAAAACTAATTGTGATCTGAATGCAGCTACTTTGTTGATATGGAAAGCATGTAGAAGCACTATATCAATTTTAGGTATTAATCACCATATGGTGAGTACTTCTCTGTTAAATGCAGTGCCATGTTCAAACAAATAGATTTGGCATTTCTTTTTTCCAGATACAAATAAATCATGAATCATAATCTAGGCTTTGAGAAATACTGAAAATTTATCTCCCTCTCTACCTAATATTGGAAATCAAATTGTCTTTAGTTTAAAGGATTCATATTGCTATTTTCTGATCTATGATATAATGTTGTTACCTCATTAAAACATACTTGAAGTTGTGTTTTGTTTCATTCACACATGTTTATTAACACACAAACCCTGCATATTTAGACTCAATTCATCTCACAAACAGAAAACACTCCCAGCTTGTGATGTCATGTGGTAATACAGAATGTGCTCCACTGTGTTTTTAAACTAACTCTGTACCAATTTGTACTGAACTAAAGGTAAAATGAGCTGTTAACTTGAAAACTACTGCTTTGTGAAATCACAAAGTGGAACAGAACATTTTGAGCTTTGTGGATGTAGACAGCCTAATAATCCAGGATAACTCAAACATGTGTGAATGAAACAAAACACATCTCTGTCTACTGTGTATTTCTTTTCTGCAAACTCACAAAGACGCACCTGATTCACAACACCCGTGGTGTATAAAAGGTGATGAAAGGAGGAAATGAATAAAATGAATAATAATTTAAAAGGTCTTTTAGCCATGTTACTCATCTGCAAAATGTTTTGTATAATTTATTAAAGAGCTCTTGTCAAAAATTTTTTTTATTAGTCTTTCTTTTTTACTTGATGTGACTCACAAATGGGCAAAAGTCTCCAGAAATCTTTTTAATTTCACAATAAAATATAGTTAAATCATTTTGCACTTAAAATAATTGTATGTAGCCCTCTTACAGTTTTAAAAAAGTACTAAAACCACAAATTAATCTGGGTTGCCACTGTGTAGTTAGAGTAGGGGTAGGACTCCATAAGTTTTTTAAACTTCATCCTGCT